ATAAATTCAAATAGTTGTTGTTTTAATCTCTGTGCATATAACTGTCAGAGTCTTAAATCCAACTCATGTTATATTTTTACCTTAATTAACTCTTTTGATATGATTTTTCTATCCGAGCATTGGCTCTCAAATGCCGAGCGATTTATTTTATATGATCTATCAGCTCCGACACATCAATTATTTTTTCACTCTGCTGAAAAGAAAGCATACGAAAGACCTTTAGGGGGAAATGTTTTTTTAGTTCCTAAAAACTTACTGCTTTACGTAATACACAAAGATGAACACATTCTTGCAAAAGGTTCGTATGGCAACAGTGTTTTTATTTTTTGACACGGAAGTTCGAAATAACCAACACGTAAGAACTTTTCTAAGCATTTATCTAATTTTCTTTAAACAAATTAGTTTTTTTTTTTGGATATAATTAGTTGTACTGGTCCTACCTATACCTATAAGCATAAAAGGCTAAATAATTCATCTTATATCGATCACATAACAGTCTTAAAAGAACCATCAATACCCTTTACAAGTAAAAACAGTAAATTTATTCCTCCTTCACATTTAAACAGGAGTGACCATTTACCCATCGCAACACATATTAATCTTAAAAATAATAGATTAACTCCAGTTATAAATAATATACTTTAAAAATACAATACAATCCCAAAGTATGCATGGAAGGATGACAACTTTATTGAAATTTATAATCGGAACCTCTCTCAGTTCTTCAAAGATTACGCTTTTATTAAAGAAGCAATAGAAAAACAAATTCAAACAACATGCGAAAAAATAAATAATGCTGCCACTTTAGCAATCGAAGAATGTTTTCAAAAAAAAAAAGAATTTTGTATTTACTCTAAATCATGGTGGACACCAGAAGTTAAAATATGCAAAGACATTCTCTCTTTCCACTTTAAGAAATGGATAAAAATGTAACTATAAAATATCGCAGGAATCCATTTCATTTAAAAATACAAGCTGGCTTGTAAAAATTTTCGCAAAACAGTAAAAGCAGCTCATAACCTAAAAATCAATAAAATTACCAAAAACATTGAAAATCTTTGAAAAATTTTGGAACAATGTCCGAAAAATTAAAGCTAATTCAAACTATTTTTACGATAAATAAGAAACAACATAGAAAGGAAATTGTTAAAGAATTTCGACAAAACTTTAATACAATTCTCAACACTCCCACAATTACTAACAACAATTGCGAACACCGCAATATTCCCCAACTAATAATTGAACCTTATAAAATACTCTTATTAACTTCCAACATTGAATCTTGGATTCGCAAGCTAAAGTCTAACAGATCACGTGACTCTTTTGGAATTACTGCAGAACATCTTAAATACTCTTCTAACAACAACCTCATTACATGGCTTTCGAAGTTTTATAACAGTATCGTTAATAATGGAGCTGTGCCGGAGTACTTATCAACTTTCATAATTATTCCAATAGTAAAATCCTATAAAAAATCTCTTAATAATTCAGATAACTATCGCAGTATTAGTATTACACCTATCTTGACAAAACTCTTTGAATATATTATCATGCAAGTATGTCCGGAAATATCAGACAGCCACTTTCATCAATTTGGTTTCAAGCAAAATAGCTCCACCCTGCATGCAGAGTTCCTATAGTAGCTACCAGTAGTTTGCACTTATGCAGATGATATAATCCTGCAAAGTCCTACTCTTTCTGGGCTACAAGAGTTGATTTATAAAGTTCAAACACAATGTCAAAACCTCTATATCAAATTAAACACAGAAAAAACCGAGTTCATTACCTCCGGTAAAAGTTTAGTTACAAAAAACATAATACAAATTAACGGTTTTTTCCTGAAACTCAATAATAAACTAAAACATATCGGATTTCTATGGGAAAAACAAGGCCATGGACAAAATATAGATAAAATCTAATCAGCAAATGTAAACAAAAGAATTATTCAATTTCAATCAATCTCCAGAGCTCTTATAAAATCTGGAATTCGTTTTTGTCAACCAGTAACTATAATGCATTTGTTCAAATCTCTGGCTATACCAAACCTATCATATGGATTAGAAGTTTGTGATTATAGCAATACTTTTCTTAATAAATTAGACGCTGTTGGAAGATCAACATTAAAGTTTCTCTTTACAAAATACAGCAAAAACTATCTGCATTTCTACTTTAAAATCGATGACGTATCTACCATCCTCGTTCAAAACAAATTGAATCTGTTTATCAGATTACTGAGCAATCCGACTTGTTTTTCCTTGATTTTAACTCAAATATCTAATGTTAATAAGGAAAACTGCTTTATCAACGAAATAATGAAAATTTGCAACCACCTGGAGCTAAGCTTCATGCAGTGTTTGATTAAGGGGCGAAAAATCATTATCAAATGTTGTAACAATGACTTAGAAGATGATACAGCGGAAATTTTAAACCAGTCCTTTGAATTCTGGAACATCAGAGAGCAGAGAATGGTATTCAAAAATTTAATGGAAGAAAGCATTCCAAGAAGAATCTAAATTAGAATTTCAACTTAGAGTATAAACTATTAATTTTGTTACCTTTGTATTTTTTACCTGTAATTTGGGTGATGAAAAAAATAAATAAATAAAAAGTATAATTAAGGCGCCGGTACAATATCGGCAACCTTACCCTAACATATTGTTAAACTATGAAGAAAAAAAATAGTACTTTAACTATGAAGAAAAAGTTTTATTGCTAAACTTAAATAATTTAAAAAAATTTTAACTTCATTTAATTTTAGACGTACAAAAGGACTATTTTTTAGATGAGCTAAAAAAATTCATTTAAACATATCCTTTTTATTAAATCGCAAAATTCGTGTATTTTTCAGAACTTGCATTAACGGCGTTAGGTGTTTACGTAAACAAAATACAAAAAGTTAAAAAGATTTTAATATAACCACTGAAAAAAAATGACGTACTTATTCTTTCACATTTATTTCGTGTACACGCTTTATTTATGGTTAAACTGGGAATTTTTTAATAAAGCATATTTTTGATCATGTGATCAATTTATTGGGATTTTTTTTTTTTTAACTATTGGGATTTTCCAAATATTGGCGGGATAGCTCAGATGGTTAGAGCGTTAAAGGAAAAATGAAAACCCGGACTGTTGATAAGAAATTTAAATACATAAAACACGACAAGTTTGCTAAAAAAGTCTAGATTTGGGAAGCTATTTGCAGTTGTGGCAAAAAATCAGCACCTTATATTTCTCAGTCCACACTTTCGGGTCAAATATATGTTAAAGAGTGTTTACAAAAATGCCTTTTATCTCTCATTAAATCACGCGATAAGAGACCTGTGTTCTTGCCAGATTTAGCTTCAATTCATTATTGTAAACTAGCTTTGGAATGGTATAAAAATGATATTGTGAAATTTCTGCCTAAAACAGAAAATCCTCCAAACTGCCCAGAATTAAGAGTTATTGGAAAGTACTGGGCCATCATTAAAAGAAAAATAAAAAAAACAAAAAAACTTTGCAGAAATATTAAAGATATTAAAATATCATTTAAAAAAGCATCAAATGGCTTCAATTCTTATTCTGTGCACAAGCTTATGGGTACCACCAAAGCAAAAGTTCGAAATTTTATTAGATTCCCACAGGAATAATTTGATTTTTTTTTTAATATTAGATTTTCTTATATTATTGTATTAATGTTTATTGTATTACTTGTTTATACTATATTATATACTTGTTTATACATGTTTATATATGTTTATATATGTTTATATATGTTGTTTATATATGTTTATATATCTTGTTTATATATGTTTATTGTATTACTTGTTTATACTATATTATATACTTGTTATATACTATATTATATACTTGTTATACTATATTATATACTTGTTTATACTACATTATAATATATTACTTGTTTGTATTACTTGTATTGTATTATATTATTGTATTAATGTATTATTGTATTACTAGGTTAGAAATAAAAATTGAAGAGTACTTTTTTTTAGTTATTTTTCTACTTTCACATTTATTTCGTGTACACGCTTTAGCTCATTAACCATCAATAGAGAAGCTCCCAGTTTAACCATCAATAACCAATACAGAAATGCATAAACATATAATTTTTAATAATTATTAGAATATTTATATATAGTAGCGTTCAAAAAAAAATAATTTATTATCCTGTCTAAAGATATTCAATTTTTTGTGTAGACACCAAAAAAAGGGAAATTTCCCCAAAAATAAAAAGAACATAATATTACTTGTTACATATTATTAAGTTTCTAGGAATAGTCCAAAACGGTATAATATATTTTAAAACACTCCTCAGGATGTAATCCTGGCTGTGATGGGCAGTAGCTACACTTTAGGGATATTTTGGATGAATGATGAAGGTTAATCTAAATTTTGAGTTGATAAATGCTAAGACTATGGTAACAATTCTTCGTTATCGTATTCTAAAACACTTTAAGGAACACTAGAGTCTCCGAGATCAGAATCAACATCACTTTCTTCATCAATATCATCGAACAAAATATCGAGAATCACATTTATATCAGTAAATTTTTTTCTTACTTTAGCTATTTTTAAAAATCAATTCTCAAGCGATATATTAATGCTATTAACAAACGATTTGAAGTTTCAGGTTAACATATTCTTTTTTCAGATGCATGTTTAAAGTTCTCCCCAATCCCTAATGATTTTTTGGAAAATTGAAATTTACTTATGGACCGCCAGGCGGTTCATTTGTCTTTTAAAAACAGATTTTTTGGACCGTAGTACGGGTCAGTCGACGCGAAAGGGTTAAATTTAGTTACAAAAGCACGTCGGTTTGCTTCAAAATACTATTACATAATTTAAAGCAGGCTCTTAATTCAAAAATTTCGGCTTATGATTTTTAGACTATGGAAGATATGACTCGTTAGATTCATAATATATAAGATAAATAATACATTTGATAAGTTCAATGTGTCGACAGGGTTTGCTATTTATCATACAATAAAAACAGCTTGGCGTAAGTGTGTATATATATATAATAATTATTAAAAATATTTACAAAAAGTATTTGCAATAAAAATAACTTTAAATGCCGCTGAGTAAAATTGAATTTCACGCAACAACAGCATTATAATTAAAACGAATTTTTGTTAAATTAACCCGTATAATCTTGAGATTTATATTTATCTTCGTCGTAAATATCAGCTTGAATCGAGTTTCCTCCAAACCAACGACCGTTTAATGCCGATTGAGCTGATTCTGCTTCTACATTAAGTAAATAGAAGTTAAAACATATTAATATATAGTCCTCTCTCTCTCTCTCTCTCTCTCTCTCTGTAGACAATGCAACACACTAAAAATACCCTTATTACCGGAATGTTTCGAAAACTCGACAAATATTTTGACGATAACTTCAGCATTGTCCTCTTCACCTTGACGCTCTTGGTATATAACAACACGAACTACATCGCCAAAGCGACTACACTCTTCCGTTACTTCTGTCTGTAATTCCTCGTCTACTTCATCGCTTGTTACCATATTTTTTAAAACGAGGACGGGAGACTAAAAAAATTAAATATAAAAATAAGCTCCTTTAATCAAAAAAAAAAAAAAGAGAGTAATTTAAATGTTTTAAAAATAAACATACTGAGCCGCTGCGAGCCAATTTCTGCATCATCATGTATCTTGCATCTTTTCCAGATATCTCTAACTTTTCTTCTCGTTCAAGATTTTGTTCACCGGCGTGTTTGTGATCGAGAAGCTCCTGTTTTTTGCGCTGTTGTCGACTAGTTAGACGCTCCTCGGGTACTGGTTGATTACCAGGCGTCGGATATGAAGTGTTATTTAAACTAGAAGTAGATTGACTATAAGAAACTGGTTGCTGAGAAAAAGGAGACTGCATTGTAGATAAACCATAACTTAGTGTTGTTTGACCATAAGATACCTGAGCTTGGCTACTTGTCTGAATATTATACACAGAGCCATTAGACACTGTTGGAGAAAAACCTGGAATCTGTAGTGGTATAGGCGGCAACCCAAAAGGATCTGGAGACAAAGAAGGTGTTACTGGATTCATATGCAAAGCGGTTGCTAAAATAAAAAATATATATTATGAACTTTTATTTTAAATCAGAAAAATCTTATTCTAATATTAGCTTAAAGCATTGAATACCTGATTTAATAAACCTAACTTTTGCAATTAGTAAATACTTACCTCCATGAGCAGATACAGCTTCCTGTCCTTGAATACTAGCTGATATGACATTTGCAGCAAGCAATGAAGCAGCAGGTGGAGGCCCTTGTTTAAGTGCATGATCAGGAGGTGTTATAGCCTGTAAGGTTAAACAATAAAACATTAAGCATATAGCAAAAGTTCACATTAGAAAACAAAAACTTCAAATTTTGGTAAATTATTGGAGCAGTTAGTTGCTATTAATGAATGGTAAAATAATAAAGCTTGTTAATTCCACAAGCTAAAATAACAAGCTCATAAGAAAATGTTTTACTTAAGTTTTTAAAAATACAGGTCTACTATAAAACTTGAGCTAAATGAATTGTTCACAATTATGCAACTGTTTTTATATTTATAATTTTATCTATTAAAATTGATTTCAATTAATGATGCATTTATACTTATTTTTTTGCAACTAATTAAATCAGTAAATTTATTTTATACTCTCACTTTGAATATTTATTAAATTACTTTTCTGTTGCAGCAAAAATTTAGGAGATAACACTATTTTATATTACAAAAAACCTATGTATTTGATAAAACAATCTTTGTTATTTAAAAATTTGGCATATAAATTTGCTAAATGGTCACACATACATATATTTAATTCTTAAGTGGTATGAGCCTTATATTACTTACATGTAAAAATAAACTTTTAAAATTAATTAGAAAAGTTTTCAATTCATTTTCAAGTAAAATAAAATCAAGTAAAGTATTATATCTTTCACATTTTAAATTAATCAGAAATCTTAAAAAAATTAAATTTTTTTAAAAATATTCGAGGGTTACCAACTGCTAACTCTTGACTTTGATAATTCAACTTAACCCAAGACTATGAAACTTAAACTGAACAGTGCAATAAATTTAAATAATTTTTTTTTTTGAAATGTTGAGAAGAATTGAGAAGAATTATGCACTGATTTTTTTTTCCAGATATCTGAATTATTAGAGGTGTACCGGATATTTTTGCCGGATATGTCGTAAAATGAACTTTTCTCAAGTTCTGCCAATTCTCAAGTTTTGTCATTCTTCATTAAATAGTTTTCAAGATTTAAAATATAAAATCAATAAAAAACTGGTATCACACAGGTATATGCGTTAATTATGTATAAAGAAAAATCGTTTTTTATAGCCAAATATATATATTTTTAAATTACTATTTTCTATATTTCGTCAGTACATATACCATGTCATACAGTTTTTCACTGATTTTTTAAAGTAATATCTAGAATACTATATATTGAACACTGGCAAGACTTGTTTTTTTTTTCATAAACACTTTTTCATAGAACTTTAGAACAGTTCATTCCGGCATATCCGGTACACCTCTATAAATTATCAGATTTTCCTCTGTTTTCCCTGATCTGGTAAACACCCTGATTAACATAAAAATTCAATAGTCATATATTAGTATATATTTTAATGAATTTAAAATATTTTAGTGAATTTAAACCTAAAATTTTTAGCTGCCACTTTCATAATCATAAACTTCAAAAAATATAGTTGATACATCGATACATGGTATTTGGTTATTTGACAAAATATACTTTCTTAATAATAAGGCCATAAAAGTGATTCAATTACTTTTGGATTTAAAAAAAAGGAAAGCTATTGAAATAAAGAATTTAAATTGAACAAAGTCATTTACAGTAAATAAAATACTAAATGTGTTTGCTAAGGTTTAATCAGACAATGATGCTAGTTATCAAATCTGGTGTTCTAGAGGAAGTGTTAAAAGACTTAATATAGGCTGGTTTCAAATCTCTTAAAGCACAGTAATGTATGAAAACCAAAAATTTTAATGTTGAATAGAAAAATTTTAAACAGGAAGAAAGTATACATTAGAATATTAATCCTACTGAGGAATAAAGTTTCTTACTCCTCGATATGAGAAATTATTTCATATGCCTCAGTAGGATAAATTATTTTATACAATTATTGTAAATAAATCTCAACAACGCAAAAAAAATTTAGTAAAAGTTTAGCTGCCAAAATAAATAGGAACATGTATAATAATCAAATGCAATTTCTGTTTAAGGAAGCAATAGGTGCATTTCTTAAAAATTTGTGGTAGTGATGAACTCTATTATTAAAGCCATTACAAATTTAACAAAGGTCAGTAACATGCACATTCTTGTCACAATCGCAACAAATACATGAGTTGACTTTTTTATATATATTTAAAAGAATGTTGGTTTTAAATGTATAAAATGGACTGAAATTAAGTAAATTGAAGGATAAAGATAGAGCTGATTGAATATCAGCACGAATAAAAAACATTTAAAAAGAATTTGTAACAGATGATCTAAATATTTAATAAATGTTATAGAATAAAATTAAAAATAAAATGATGTACATATTTGAAAAATTGTATAATGAAAAACTGTCTAATGCATACACTTTCAAAAAAAATGGACAAGAAAAACAATACCTAACACAAAAGAAAAAAAAAAGTAAAAACAATAACATATCTTAAAATAAAATAAAGAAAACAAACAAAAAAATTTATTGAAATATGTATGCAGAATTGAAAAGCAAAAAAAAAAAAATTTATTATAGTAAACAACAATAAAAACTGTACCCTTCCAACACGAATGTATTGTCCTCCAAGATCAAACAAATTCATAGCAACAATTGCATCATTAGCAGAGCTTTGATTTGCATACTCAATGAAACCATAACCTTTGTGCTTGCCTGTAAGTTGATCAGGTGCAAGTTTACAAGATAAAATCTCTCCAAATGCTTCAAATACACTAAATTTATAAAATATAATATAAAATATAAATGTTCTCTCCTTAATGTTCAAAACTTTATTTGCTTTTTAGATTTAATATTTATTAGATTAGATATTATTTTTTTTAGAATTTATTAAATATATTTAAATATTTCCTATAAGAATATAAAATCTTTTAAACTAAATTTGCTCATTGTTTTATTTAAGATTTATTAATGTAAAACCTTTAAAGATATAAAACTAAATCTGCTAATTCCTTATGATACTGCAAAAATGTGTTTGTGTTGTTTTGCTTTTGTATGCATCTACACTATCTTTAATAAAAAAACTTAAATCATTCGACTGTAGGTACCCTACTTTTTGTCGAAACCATACTTATTGTTGTTGAAGTTGATGCTAGTCTAGCTAGATGTTAATTGCAAAAACCGCAGTTTTTTATTGTGGATAGAAATCTGTCTGACATCATTAACTACTTCAATTTATTATTGTAGGTAGAAATCTGTCTAACAAGATTATAAATCTCCCTATAGTTTTAAAGGAAATTCTCAAAATATTTTCGATTATATAAAAATAAAATATTTTATTAAAATACCTATAAAGTTAAAATTATAGGACTATTTTAAAGACTACTAATCATCAAGCTTTGTTGGGAAGCAGGTCCGATTGCACTCTATTCCTAACCATTAAAATTATATTTAGTTACGATAACTTGCATTCAAGATGTTTCGAGATAAATGTTGATGAGTATACAAAATGTTTGCCGGCACTTCTTTGGAATAAATCTGTATTGTAGTGAAGAAAATAAAACATACAAACTGGGATTAGTTTGCCTCTTTGGTTCATGCAATACTGAAAATCACTTGAAGAGTTTTTTAATTGAATTTGAGAAAGATTTGGTAGGATCAACACAAAACAGTGCAGCAATCAACAAGAAATATATGAAAATTGTCAAGATTATCGACCAGTAGTGCATTAATTATGGCATTCACTTAGGACTAACTGACACTTTCTATAAGAAAAACGACCGAATTAGTTCAAGTGAATTAGATTCGGACTCTGATGATGAAGATCAGGTTGACAATTTTGAAAATAATGACAGAGGTTGTGCAAGTAGATTCAGAAGTCGATTTCCATTCTGTTTTGAAAAATGCACAAGATGTCAAATATATCAGTATTTTGACCGTTAAAAATTAAATATTTCAGTCAAAAGTAACTCAAGCATTTTTGCTATATGGAACCCAAAAGAACAGAAAACTTGCAAAAATTATACGAGGCTCTCCTTACAATTAAACCGACGCCCACAGACGTTGAACGAGTTTTTTCAATTTCAACAAACTTTTGCACAAGTATTCGATCACGTCTTTCAAGTGAATCTCTGAATTCACTTGTGTTCCCTAAATTTTACAATAATAAAAAATAATGCTAGAAATCGGACTACTTTTGATGTAAATTCCATGAAAAACAGAAAACAGCTGTTAACAGGTGTTTCTTTAAAATAAAAACAGAAAACAGGTGTTTTCTGAAACTGTTTTTATGAAACTGCTAAAAGAAAAGATCATTATAATATTTTTAAAGTAACGCAACAATTTAATCATTACTTTTGTTTATCTTACTTAAGAAGAATTGTTTTAAATATTTTAAACTTTTCAAACTACACAGTTTGTTTAGGTTGAAATAAAACATTAATACTTAAGTTATTATTAAATTAAACTAAAGAATTATATTATACTCTGATAAATTAAAGAATATTTCTTTGTTTCTTCGTTTGTTTCTTTACTAAACGATCATTAATAGTAAGTTGTTACTTTTTATGTGTCGCTCATTTTTATAAAAAAATTAAAAATGTTAGAAATTTAGAAATAATTTATTATAAACGTAATTTATTTTGTTTCAGCTAAGTTTTTTTCTTAGTTAAGAATTTATTTTTTTTAATAATTTTTTTAGTAACTGTCTCCTGTCAAGTTACGTTTTTTTTTTTGCATTTTTTGAAATATTCTCAATTTATCTTAGAAACTGTGGCCATGTTGCCGCAACTGAATATTATGTGTGGTCAGATATAGAGTGCAATTGCACCTGCTTCCCGACCAAGCCTAAATCATAGCTTTCTATATATATTATATTTTAAATTTATTTTTGCTATATTTTTGTTGTTGTTTAAATATTTTGTTTGTTTTATTTGAAATTTTTTATAAATATCAAATTAAAACTATTTTCAGAAGCCACAAAATATGACTATAAAAACACAAAAAAAAAAAAAAAACTAAAACTTGAGTTACATGTAAGCACCTGCTTATAGCTTAGTATAATCCTGTTTAATTTCTGGTTAGGGTTGTATAATCCTATAATATAATATATATTAGGTAGTATAATCCTGTTTAATTTCTGGTTAGGGTTGCAATTTTAATTTTTCTATTGATATTTTTACTATGTTTTACAGTTACTGTCAGGTGTCATTGTAAAAAGTGTCTAATAAAATCAAGTTAATTGAGAAAGCCATAGTGATTATGTCTTATATTACCAAGTCTAGAAGTCTATTTACAGTATTAAACAAACCTTGCTTAAAAGAATTAGTGGATCATTTAAATTCTAACATGTTACATTATTCCACCAATTTTTCAGTGTACAAGTTTGCTTATGATATGAATACATCATAAAGCAAGATTGTGCCAAAATTAATTGAAAATGAAGTGCACAGTTATCAACAAGTCGGTGTTAGCACTGGTTGGATTTCTAGCTTTAAGGATCCCTGACTCATCACTTCACTATATCAATAATCAGTTAAAAAAAAAGTTATGGGCTTTGAAAACCTATTGGGAAAACACACTGGTCAACACATAAGCAAAGTAAGTCTCTTTTTATAACTTTATCAAAAATATTTATCAAAAAAAATTTTTTTAATAGAAGTATTATTTTCGTAATAATATTTTGTCTCACAAGATTCAGTAATTTATGAAAACAACATTAATTTCTTGTCATTTTTTTTTCAGACTCTGAGGAAATAATTCATAAGTGCTCAAGAGAGTTATTATTTGTGATAAAGTAGCAAATGTGAAACGTTCTTTATCATTCACGCTTAATAAATGCTAGCAAAGAAAGTGTAATAATTAAAAGAATGGATATACATTGCCACAAAACTATCTAGTATCTTCATAGAACTATCACAAGTCTTATCTAGCTATAACTAGTGAGTAGCCTGCACAATTGTAGGAAGAAATAGTCAATGTTTTAATTATTTTTAATTCTTTTTAAGACATATCATTGCATTTCACATGATTTAATATGATGATTAAATTTAAAAATAATTTTACTATAATACATATAAACACATAAATTACATCAATGCTTATATATTGTTTATCTGGCCAGAGCTGGCATTTAATCTCAGACCTCTTGGTTCAAATTTTTAACCACTAGGCAATGGCTGCTCTTGGATGAATTCTTGCTTTTGTGACTTGTTGATAGTCATAGCAACGACAGGACTCATCAATTTGGAAAAGAAAAATGTCTGATTATTCTCTCGAGCAATGATTTTCCTGAAATAACTTTCTGTTATTCTTATATTTTCAATCGTTGGATTTCTTTCTAAGACTTTATGTTTAGTCATTTTACACAAATTATTTTAATTATGTGAATACTTGTCAAATGATATATAAATTTTACTCAGACATAACAAATTCTCTTCATAAGAATAACTACAATTTGCATCACTAGATTGCATTAGAAAATAAAATATAATTAAAATACCTTATTCATAATTTTGAACCAAAATACATATTTTTATTTATAAAGCACACACCTTTTTATATCACTTTCAGATAGATCAGGATGTATAGACGAAACGTATATGCGAGCATACTGCCTGGCCTCTTGAAGTATTTGCTCAATCCATGGAGCAGCTTGGGGAACATTACTTGGCCTACCAACCTGAAAAATATAAAAATTATTTTATTGTTAAAAATCTAAATATAGAACATTTAAGTAGCAAAATGATACCTAAAAGAAAGAAAAATTTCAAAGTGCAAGAATAAACAGAGTATTTTAAAACAGACAAATACTAAATGAAAGTATAACAACCAAAGTATATTGAAACATGTGGAAAAAAAACTCTGAAGTTTTATTTAAATAAGTTAATAACTAATGGTTAGTTAATAAATTATTTCTTTCCTTTTCAGTAAAGCTGCTATAACACATAAACAGCATTAAAAATGAGTAACAATATATAAAGCATGAATTATATACATTGTAATAATACAAAATAGAAAACCTTTATATTTCTTCCACCCATTAGTACATTATTCATTTGTTCAAGTGCAAGTTGAGCTGCTTCTGGAATTTCATACTCCACAAATGCAAATCCCTAAAATGAATGTTGAAAAATTATAAAATACTCAAGTCAATTTAAAATTTTTTTTGGAGTTAAACTCATAAGATTAAAAAATCTACAATTTGTGATGTACGCGCCTTGTGCTTCATTGTAGCAGAATCCCATGATAGATCTATCATTTTAATTGGTCCAAATGGTAGAAATGAAGCGCGAACAGATTCTTCATTGAGCTGAAAGTTTATGCTGCCTATGTATGTCCTACAAAAAAAATTATAACAATTACTCATTATAATTATGGCAATCATTAAAAGATATTTAACAATTATTTAAATGCTAAAATATGAATGATTAAGTAAAATATTAAAAAATAAAAATGCATTTTTATTTTCTTATATTTTACTCATAATAAATACCTTTGACCAATTACTAGCATATTAGATAAAAATCAAATTTGTATTGCAAAAAAATTTTTAACTTGAAAAAAAATATATGCGGACTCAGCAAAAAAAGGTGAAAAAGTTAACATATCCAAAACATAAATAACCATGACAGATTGCATTAGTATTAAAGGTTAAAATTTTATTTATTGCTAGTAGTATAATGTTACTTGTGCCTGATCCCAAAAACTTTAAAAAAATTTAAATTATCTAAAATGGCAGAAATAATAGGATTAAAAACTATTTCTAGCTATAAAACACTCAGTTGAGAGAGTAATTGTAGGTCAAGTTTAAATTTAAAAATTTTCTTTTTGGGTTGAGGTACTAAAAACTTTAAATAAGAACACATCCTGAAAAATTTGAGGCTAAAATAAACAAGGTGATTACAATAAGGTTTGTGTGCAATAACTGTGCTAAACAAGATAGTCTTAATCAACAAGATATTTTGAATAGGGAATGTTATATTTATTTACTGAAAAACAAAATATTTCTGTTGCACCAGTTGACTATGGCACCAGCCGATTTAGTGTGATTCACTGCTCATATTTAAGTCTCTTTTTTTCATTCCCAAATTACAAACTTTACAAAACTGCCAGGTACCATCAATTGAAACACCACAAAATGTCTAAAAATGTCGAAAAATAATTTTAATTCAAAAACTTTTTAAAACCAGTGTTTTTTAATCATATAGAACACATAAAGGAAGTGGCAGCATATATTTTTCAAAAATGTTGTTTTTTGGGACACGCTTTTGCACTAGTTTAAAAAGTCTAAATAACATTTTCAAAATTTTCATTTTTTTACCTATTTTTTACCAAAATAATGACCTTAAGCTAATTTTATAAAGTTTTGGTTTTAGCTTTTTATTTATCAGTTATTTTAAAAACTGATTAGAATTTAGTCTTTATTGTTGATTTGAATGAATTAGTGAAGCTCAAGGGGCAAATTAATTTAATTTACCTGATCATAAAATTTTATTGCAGAAAAAACAACAAATTTACTGTTGCAAATAGCTAATTTAACAGACTCTCATGCCTAACATATCTCTTTATAATAATACTGGACTTAATAGTAGTAGTAGTAGTAGTGCGCTTTCGAGCCTGTTTGACTCGATACTCTTGGCAACCATTGCATCCGAGGTAGTGACGAGAAAGTCTTACCTTTGCTTTATAAGAAAACGCGAGCAAACGTGAAACTCATATTGTACGTACATAAACTTCATGTTATGTAATGTTAAAACATGCTTAAACATATATCAAGTTCAACAGTTTGATTTTCACTTAAGAACTGCATTTCGTCAACCTTTGCTTAATTTCTTATCTTTTGTGTTTTTATCCGTTAAAAAACAATTTTTATATAATTTGAAATCTTTAAGACACTTCGTGACAGCGTAGTAGAGTGGTTAGTGCGCGCTGGGCTTCTGACCAAGTCAGCCATGGTTCAAGTCCTACCATCGGTGACCTTCTTTTTTATTTTTTTTGCGCATGTGTCATTATTGAGATACTTATGTTATTTTAGTTAAACTTTTCAAGTTTATTTACAACTAAATTGAGCAAGGAAAATTAGTAAAAAACATATTTATATATAGAATATAAAATCTATATAACTTTTAATTTGCATTTTAAACAACAAAACCGCGTGCCAAGCTGATGAACTTGCCACGCGGCGACCATAACTTTTTTTAAAAATGGTAAGGGGGCTTAAAAAGTATATTTTTATTTAGAACATAATTAAAAATTTTAATTTTATATGTACACTAAATTATTTTATAAAATTTATTGTTTCTAAAAATAATTAAAAGTTAAACTATTTAATATTAGCATAATACCGATTTCTAATCTTTTGCATTTATATCTGTTAAAAACAATTTTTATTTCTTAATGCGTCAGCATAGTCGAGTGGTTAGCGCGCTGGGCTTCGGAACATAGCTGCCGTGGTTCGAGTCCTACCGTTGGCGACTACTATTTTAATTTTTTTTTAGATTTTTTTAAATACAAATTCAAATACTTATAAAGTTTTATAGATATTGTATATAGACAACATATGTAAAGATATTAATCAAAAGTTTGATCCTCGCATTTTGACACAGAACCAACTTCGCTAACGAGAGAAAAAAAAAATCGTTCACAAATTTCAAAATTTTGTTTTTTCGTTGCAAGAAGTGTCTCGCAAATGCCATTTATGTTAAAGTTAGTGTTTACGCAATCAATAAGTTTAATCTTCGTATCTAGGACATTAAAAGTTATCATTTAGATGTTTTCATTTGATTGAGATTTTCTTGCGTTATAAACCGGATAATAGTTCTTATGAACTGTAACCACGCGGATAAAGTGTGCATCAATATCCTAAAGACCCGTATTTTATGGGTCATGACAGCTAGTTTTAAATATTACTTGTATAAAACAGATATTTATTCAGTTAATACAACTACAGGATAAAAATACTTACTGTTATATGCCAAAATGAAAAAATAATTAAAATAAAGTAAATAAAAGAACACTACTACTTTAATTCAAAAGCGTATACAATTTAACGAACTTTAAAGATAAGCTTCTCTCTATGTGTTTATTTTAAAACTGGCCTTACCTGACCAGACGAACAAATAACAAAAGGTAATATTTGTCTGATCAGCTTATTTTGTGTTACTATCATTGTAAACACACTTAGATTAAAACACAATGACCTATACTTCTGTTCCATCCTAACTGTATAACTGCTGATACAACTCAAACTGCATTTACCAGACACATCTGTGGTTCTTCTCAGATTACTTACTGGAGCTTTATTTGATAATTAATTAAATATAATATATAATTGGCTATTGTGAATAAGCACATGTGAAGGAGACTTTAACACTATTGAAAATTTTGTGACCTAAAGAACAATACTTAAAGTGCTTAGAATCATAGAAAAAAAGGCAGAGTTTTCTGATAAAAGATCCAAAACTATGGAATTCAGATGCTTGTTACCAAAATTTGTAGGATCAAATCAACAAGGTGAAGGTTGCCATTCATAGTGTAGAGCACAACATCGCACCTATCCAGAATTAAATTCATCACAGACGAGGATAAAAAATAGTTCATTTTGTACATCAACATCACCAGATTTATATTCTCATGAAAGTCACAAATATGGTAAATGTTTTAAAAAAAAAATTTAGTCTAATTAAAATAAACATCATTTTTACACAAAGAACATGGTAAAAATATGTCATATTTGAAATCAATATTAAAAAATAACTGTGTAGGACCAAAAGATTGTTGATCATCCTAAACATTTTCCTTGTTCAATTAATTGATGCATGGTCTATTGTTGAAAGTGTTAACTTCTAGTACATTTCTATTGAAGAAAATGAGATCAGGAGATAGTTCACTTTTATCAGCTCCCCCACGGTTACGCAAAAAAGTTGTGTGAGCTACACATTAAATAACCCTTGGTGCTCAAACGTAATGGAAAAAAACCTGAAGACCACCACCTGGTCTAAGTTGTACAAGTACAAGAGCCAGTAATGGTGACTTGATCATTTGACTTAGCATATGTAGTGTTAAATCTTGAAATATTGGGCAAGATCACTATGGTACCATTAACTTTTAAGTGATTGGATACCAACAGCTAAGCAGTAATTCTTGGCTTTCAGGGTACAAAGATATGGGACAAGTTTTGTAGCTTGATTTTAAACAGCTTTAAGAGCGTTTATATTTTCAACTAAAAAGGTACCCATGTGGCTGAGCAATACTGCAAATGAGGCCTTACATAAGTTAAAAGCATTAATTTTTACAAATTAGGATCCAAACAAAACAATTACTTAAGTAGCGAAAATAAAAATTTAGTTAAAATAAATTCAATAATTATTTAATAACTGATTTAATAAATTAGAAAAGTTATTTTTTAATTTGAAATCTATTAATAAAAGTCTTGCAAATGCCTAATAGTAAAACTCATAACTAAAAATACAAACCTGCACATGAGAGCAAGAGCTCTTTGTCTTTGAGCAGAGCTTTGAACTGCACTCACATCTTGTTGTTGGACAACTTTTTGCTTGGCTAACACCTATTATAATAATTTGTTTGAAATTATATAACAAGCCTTCTCAGGAAAGGCGTGCGGTTTTTTGTCTTGTACGACCACGAAAACGTTTTTCATGCTATAGAACGTGATCACGGCCGTTTGCGCAAGTTTTATTATATGCATTGCTGAAAAATTATTTTAAATTTAATAACTACTTATAAAATTAAAGTGAACTTAAATAGAAATCAATAGTAATAGTTTAAATAATTTTTGTGTTGTGTTTATTTTTTCTTAGTGGTTATTATTACCGGCAACAAAATTCATTAAGTCAAAGCAAAAAAAAAAAAAAAAAAATTTATAAAAATAAAGCGGATATTTAAATATTATTAAAAATTTCAGGAACTTTCACACATCACTTAAAGGGATCCCAAAGTCCCAACACATGTTGTGTTCATATTAAAGATAATGTTAAAAAAAAAGGTTTGAACCAAATTTTTTTGATTAAAAATAAATAATAAATGCATACCGTGAAAAACAAATGTTGCTGTTTTTGCCGAAGCTCGTCTTCTTAATTTTTTTCAACTACTCGGAGTCTTCAAATTATGCGTCGCAATCTACAGACTTTGGCAATTCCTTTGAAGCGTGTTTAATTCATAAAAGTTTTAGTATTTGACGTCACGGTAGACTTTTAACAAAAGAAACTCTGGAAATATTTTTATTTATTTTTAGTCGAAGTTTTTTTGATTATTTGTTTAGTTTTTTTTTTCCTACTATTAATATTTAAAAAGATATTAAAAACCTTAAATATTTTATGCTGGTTTGTTGCTATAAATTGTTATTGCGCCATATATTTAATGTTTATAAATTATGAATATTTATTATCTCAAAAATTGTTTTACATTAATTACCCGAATAAAATTAGTAACAGCTTTTTTATTTGGTTAAACGATATTTCGTTTCAATTTGCTTTGCATGAAGTTCGGAAAGTCAAAAGAAAAAAGTTAGTTTGAATAATCACGTCGAAATATATTTAAAACAAATTATTTAAATGACAGGGGTTCTAAAGTTTTTATAACAAATGTAGGTAAAAAAATAAATAACTAAATAAAAAGTTCAGTATTAAACACCATTTCTTTATTATATTGCAACTGTAAATATTGAATTATTAACTTGAACTAAATTTAATTATTATTTAGAACGACTAAGCAATAAAAATAAAATGCCTATAAAATTATGCGAGATTGTGTTGTTTATTTGATAACTGTTGTTGGTAATGTTGTTTATGTTGATTATTTTCATAAATATCAAAATAGTTCCAGATTAATCTGTTCGTTGCTTTGCTCATTGTTGATTTATTTCTAATTTAATTTTATCTCAAACTATAATTATATATTAAAAAATAAAAGTTTTTATTTCATCGGGCGCTCTTTTTATAAAAGAGTAGAACAAAAGACATAGATTATCCTGACCATATTTTAAAAATCCGGAAATTTTTTTTCCTTGAATATCCGGAAAAAATCCGGAAAACTTTTTTGTAATATCCGAAAAAAATCCGGAAAACTTTATAGTAATATCGGGAAAAAATCCGAAATTTACAACAAGGAGGGAAGATGTTAACAAGGGGGGCGTGCTCTCCTCGATTTTTTTTATATTTCTTTAATATTACGTCAGTTTAACCGTATCTATGAATAAAAAGCTACATATTTTTTCATCAAAAAAAAAATAGTAATAATAAAATTTTAACAATAATAATAATAGTAAGAAAAATAAGTCAAAGAAAAAGTAGAAAACTATATTTAAAAGCTGTTAAACAATGCGTAAACTTTTTTAGACATGCACTTATACATTTAAATACATAATGGATAATAAAATTTTGCTTCAATTCTCCAAAGATATACAAATAGATAAACGTTTAACGCGTTGTTACAGATCAGAGGCGCCACTATAACTGAAATCCCATGGGCGTTATTTATTTTAGCGTTTCGGTTTTTTTTTGTAGTAATTTTACAACATTTATCCGACACTTTTGCTTGCCAACTTCTTTCAGTAAACATTTTATTACCTGTTAACCACCAACTTTTGGAAAATATAAATGAATTTTATATTAACTATTTTCGGAGCATACTTTAATCGCAAGGAAATAATAATTTCAAAACACCAGACTTCTTATATACAAATAATAAGAAATCTTTAGTAATAAATATGTTTAAAAAAAGGAAATAAATTAATAAAAAGTAAAAAGGTATTGAATTGTTTTTCTGTAATCAGTTAATTTTCTACAATCAATTCTTCCACTCAGTGCTTAAAATGTTTTAAACTTAATTTACAATATAACGACTTCTTCTTTTATAAAAAAATCTACACGTTTCAAAATAAAAAAAAAAAAAAAGAATCCCTCTAAAAAACCCTATAAAAAAGTTTAAATAAAAATTTTAAATTTATTTTACATATGACAAACAAAGGGTGAGGTATTGTTAATGATTCACGTGCTTATTCATGTGGTTCAAAATTTAAAAGATTTAAAAAAGTTATTTTTTTTTTAATTGAAAGAAAATATAATTAATTTTGACAAGCGCTTTTTGAATTGAAAAGAAAACGTGCCTCAAAATGCGATTTATTTAAAAACCTAATAATAAACACTTCAATGCAATTCGATTCAGTTGACGTTTAGTCAAAGTACATATGTTTAGATTACTTTAAAAGAATAAAATCATAATATATAACTCTTATTTGTATGTAATAACTTATTACTAACAAAATAATTAATCTTAGTCAGTAGTTTAAGTTTTTGTATAAGATTTAATCACCCTTTACTTTACCGCTGTGTTTTTTTAAACCTTGCTCACAGATTTAAAAAGTTTTAAAACAATAAAAAAGAAATCTCTTTGCTAATAGCTAAAAGAGCTATTTAAAAAGCGTAAATTTACAATTTTTTTAAAAAAGAGAAGAGTTTGACACGCATCGCTAATTTTATTTTAAAAGTAGGAGATCATTCGCTCTTTTGCGCTGGAATTTTTATTAAAATTTATTAAAATGCTTATTAATTTTTGATTTACTCTGCGAGGGAAATCTTTTAATCTTTTTTGCTTTGTTTGTTAACTAAATATAGCGTTCCGTAATTTATGGACAACAAATTTACTGTTTATATATACTTGTTACTGTTTCATTTGATGACAGTAATAAACAGAAAAAAATTTATAAATTGTATTTTTGAAAACAATTTAATTATCCGGAAAATACAAAAAACTTAAAAAATATCCGGAATTCCGGAAATATCCGGAAAAAGATAATTCCTGAAAAGAGAAAAAAAAGTTTCGTGTTTTTGTTAAAAGTCTACCGTGACGTCAAATACTAAAACTTTTATGAATTAAACGCGCTTTAAAAGAATTGCCAAAGTCTGTAGATTGCGACGCATAATTTGAAGATTCCGAGTAGTTGAAAAAAATGGAGAAGACGAGCTTCGGCAAAAACAACATTTGTTTTTCACGGTATGCATTCATTATTTATTTTTAATCAAAAAAATTTGGTTCAAACCTTTTTTTTTAACATTATCTTTAATATGAACACAACATGTGTTGGGAGTTTGGGATCCCTTTAAACAACGTTATAAAAAAGTACTTTATAAAAAGTATAGCATTATGAAAAACGTTACGTAAATCTGTGCGTTAATTTTAAAATCAACAATAAAAAATTTTATTGGGTAATTTTAAAATTAATGCGCGTTTTTACGGTCCATTAGTAACGATTTTCATAATGCTAAACTTTTAATATGATACGTCTTCATAAAGTTGTTTGTCACATTTTTATAAGTTACTTTAGTTTTAATATTATTTGAACACCTACTTTATTCTTTTAGATATTTTTCTACTTTAATTAAAATTTGGGAATACTAATGTTGCTTGAACAAAGAATGAATTTTAAAAGTTATAAGTGCATTATAAAAATAATAACACTATTATAGTGCTATTACTTTTTTAATGCAGTTAGTGACTAGAGTGTTATTACCTTTGTAATCGTAAGTTTATTGTTTTATTTTTTATTTTTTCGCTAACAAATTTAAGTTGATTCTCGCCTTAAAACAAGGAACACCGTTTTGTATAAACTAAAATTTTGAATATTAGATATTTTTCCAGATTTTGCGTATTGCATTCGCTTAATTCAACCTTTAAAACTATATAAATAAATTTTACAAACTCATTGCAATTTGCTTTTTTGCTATCCTCTTAAAAAAATTAAGAAAAGGAAAATCATTCTATTTATTGTAGACTTTAAACTGTTTTTTTTTTGCTTCGCCTTATCTAATTTTTGAATGTAACTCTAAAGAAACAAAAATAAAAACAGTCCACAAATTATTTAAATTATTAATTTGTTTTTATTTTTTTCTATTTCAATCTCTTTTTATTTAGTTTTTTTTTTTTGAAACTTTTTCAGCATTATTATAAAACTTGCAAACGGCCGTGTTAACGTTTTCTAAAATAGTGTGATCGCGAGTGGTCATATGAGAAAAAAAAAAACACACGCCTTTCCTGGGAAGGCTTGATATAAATTAATTTTTTACTTTTCACACTAAAAAGAAATTTTTAAGTTAAGTTTTTTTATAAACTTACATGTTGTACAGACTGTTCCATTGCAAACCTCTTGGCTTGGGCAAGCATCTCTTCCTGTGCACGAATAATTTTTGGCAGAGCTTTTTTTGCTTCTGAAAATCTTGGATGAAGTCCACCATTTCCTGGTCCTAAAAGTAATTCTCCTGAACCATTATCTTTAGGCTGATCCATTCCTTCTGGAGGCTGAATTTCTAATCCAACTTCTATAGTAAAAAAATGTGGACACATTAGAAACAGTTAAATAGTTAGTAAGCCTTATCTCTCAATAGTTTAATGTTCTATAAAATAAATAAAAAATATACATTTTTTTGACAATTATAAAATGAGAACTAGTTATAATAGAGTAAATCACTGTAATGTTTAATATTGAGAGATAAAACTTTATATTTATATTAAAAAATAAGTAAAACAGCAAAGCTTTTTGAATAAATACAACCAACTAATTAGGTTAATCCAAATTTATGTATTTGAATATTATTACATTCACTTTAAGCATTTAATAACTTCAAAAAACTTTGCTGTTTATTCTTATTAGATAAACCTGTTTTTATCAAGTTGTTAAACAGAATATATGCAAAATGATTTGCACAGGGCAGTACTCACTGGTATAGGAGCATGATACCACTCACTGTTTAAAACTTCAGCATGATCTTTTAAAAGACACACAAAGAAAAACAAAACAACATTATGATAAAAAAAATTAAACTTAGAAAAAAAGTGCCAAACAGTTATAAGTGAAATAACTAAAACAGATCCAAAAGTTGAGCATTCATCTTCCACATGTGTTTTTGGGCGAGCTTACGCAATACTCCATTATTTTAATACTAAAAACAATAGCAATAATTACTAAGCTCTACTGCTTTATAGTTTTAAATGTCAACATTTTGACAAAGGACACAAACCTATCAATTTTAAAAATAGGACCTAGTAGTTTGCAAAATATTTTTTTAATCTGGGAGCAAACACAACAATTAAAAATAATTTGCTGAATTCAATGGATTCCAATCACCTTGATGTCTATAATGAAACAAACAGAAAGAAAATGTGAAATTTTTTATGTGATTTTGACATTTTAGAAACAGTCCTACAAAAAAAAAAAAAAAAACACTTTAGAAGAATAACTAAAAATATATATATTATTTAAAGCAATAAAAAATTTTAGAATTCTGATTAAGAAAAAAAAAATAATTTTAGGCAAGAGATAAAAAAAAAAACGGAAAGGAGAAAAACAGTAGAATCGTTATCATCTCTGGATTGAATATATTTAGATTATATTTATTATAAGCCACCATAACTAAAATCCAAAATCTACATTAATATTAAATGTATTTGCAGCTGTTTATTTGCACTTAACTAATGAAAAAATTACTCCTTATTAAAAAAATTTAATCAAAATAATAAACTTTTGAAAATAAAAAAAAACTTTAGAGCCCAATTAAAAGCATACCTTCTGGTTTTACATCAAACATATTTCGCCTTTTTCGTTTTTTTGGCTCCCCTATTGATGCTTGTCCCATCTCAACAGCTACCTTTAAAAATTAGACATGCCCATAATTATAAAGCAAACAAACAAAGTATAATTTTTATAGAAATATTTTAAAACAATTTGTTATTATAACAATGACTTATATTTGATTTAAATTTAAAAAAATATGATTTATTTGACATTTGAACATTTACAGCTTTTAAATTTTTAATGGATTCAAAGAATTTAAAAAGAATCAAACCTCGTTTTTATTAATATGTTAAAAGAATAATGTAATTCAAAAAAATAATATACTTTTGAACTTTTGGTAACATTACTAAAACATATGCTCAAAACAAAATGCATGTTTAGTTTTCCTCCTCAAGCAGCTACAATAACCTAATGATATGTTCTGCAGGGACAAGTTATCTCTGTTTAAGAATTGATGTCAGGGGCTATTCTAAAACCTTTTTATCAGCATTGAATGTATTAAGACGCTGTCCAAATTCAGACATTGAGGACCTTTTTTTTTTAATTATATGGCAAATAGTTTTTTTTTTTTTGCAAAAAATTTCCTAGATATAACAATGTTTCCACCAAATTTCATTACAGCAGGGGGTAATGTCACCCAAATTACTTTCCTAGAATAGACCCTGTATATATTATTTATTACTTAAGCCTAGTTTGTAATAAGTTGATAATTCATAGGGATGGTGTCAATCATACCAAAGTCTGATAAAAGGAGTAACACCAAGGAAATAAAAATGGTGAATGGATGCTGTGTTTGTTTAAGAAATGTATAAAAACATCAAAACCCGAGTTTTTATATTTTGATCCAAAAAGAAATTTGTGGCTAAATGCTATATGTAGAAATGCTCTATCTTTTAAAAACAATTATTGGTTGGCAAAAATAAAGCATGCATTAGTGTGTGTAAAACATTTTGTATTTGGTAAATTTTGTATTTGAATCATCTGAATATTTGAATGCAAACTAGTCTCAAACTTAATACACGATTCTCAGATTTGAGTTTAAGCGCTGCGCACGCATGTTAAATGACATGCGCAAACCTAGCGGAGGTAAACAAACATTTATTTTTATAATTTGACTTGAGTTACTGCAAGAAAGTCATAAAAGAAATATAAATGTCTACTCATTGTGCTATTAAAGATTGTGAAAATGGTCAATATAGACTTATTAAATGGAGACAGGAAATTTAATAATTAAATAAATAAAAATTTGCAAAGTTCACGGGACAAGAAGAGAAGAAGAAAACTGTAATTGCACAGAACCTTTTAGGTATAGATTAACTAGACTATTTCTTTCATAATAATAGTGTTATATAACACTATAATTATAGTGTATTGTATACATATTATATGGATGTTGTGTAAATTATTAGTATTAATAGTGTTATAATACACTATATAGTTTTATATAGTATAATGAATAATAGTGTTATAATACACTATAATTACAGTGTATTATAACACTATTATTATGCATTATTGTATATAACACTATATAGTGTATTATAACACTATTAATACTTATAATCTACACAACATTTATATAATATGTATATAATACACTATAATTATAGTGTTGTATAACACTATTATTATGAAAGAAGTAGTCTAGTTAATCTACACCTAAAAGGTTCTGTGTAATTACAGTTTTCTTCTTCTCTTCTTGTCCCGTGAACTTCGCAAATTTAATGTCTCCATTTAATGTCTATATTGACTATTTTTACAATCTTTATCAGCACAATGAGTAGACATTTATATTTCTTTTATGACCTTCATTTGTTTAAACTTATCCTCAAGTCTCAGATTGATAGGGATTGGTATAAATAAAAATTTATACCAATCCCTCTCAATCTTCAATTGTATATCTAAATAGAGTCTATTAAAATAAGTATTTTATTTTAATATACTTACTATTATAAATTATTCATGTAAAAACTCCATAAAAAACTGCAGATAAACATAACAGAAAATATATTTCTAAATGATTAAAATACATTCCTAAAAATACTGTCTTTGCATTTTTTAAAATTTAATGACTAATTACAGTACTTTTCTAAGATTTTAAGAAACGTTTTTTATGAATTACATTCAAAACATTGAAAATGTAAAGAGACGAGAATTTCAAGCAATTACCTACTACTTTACAACTTTTAAAGACTTCAAATGCATACTTTAATATTACATTGAGCTTTACAGACATATTTAAATCAATAACTTACTGATGAATACACTTTAACAACTTTTAATAAAGAAAATAAACAGAAGAGAATAGGTTTAAAACTACCCTGTGTTCGTTTTAATAATGTATAACATATAATAATAAGAACGTCTATGTAATTAAATAACATTAATATGATGTATAGAAACTTACACTGTCGGTCTCAACGTTGTTTATATCATTAGCCATAACCATTTGCTTATAAGTTGAAATATAACATTAACTACTAAGAATTAGCTTTTTACTTAGCGCGTTGAACTCTATTACAAAGAAGCACGTATGTTTTACGTTTACAGAAATTAAGGAAGTGATCAAAGGCATAATCAAAAACCCGTTTAACCAATTACGGAGATAATAGTTAATAAACATAAATATAGCTTGAGCTAGGCAAAGTGTTTGTGAGACGTAAAAAAATATCAACTCATGTGATGGAAATTTTGTAAAATAAAAAAATGTAGTAAAACAAATAGGAACTTAGTGTTTTGTTATCACAGACCTTCTAACTCTCCAGGTTTTGCCGTTTTCATAATATAATAGCAAGTATTGCCGAATTCGCTATTAAAAATAATTTTACAAAACTTTGTATATAGAGTTAAAGCGGGTATAACGGGCATGTTAAATTGAACAACATTTTTAGGCGACAATTAGAATAGAACAACTTTTGCATTACCACGAAAATTGAGCAAGATTCTCAATTATGTAGAAAAAAATATATTCCCATATATTCGCAAACTTTTGATGCATTTGTGTATTATTCTAGTGACATCTGCTAAGTCAGAGAGATCACATTCTGTAGAAAAGAAAAGATATCTGCTTTCAACTATCCATCAAACGCGTTTGACTGGCATGTGTTTAATGAATATATACAATGAGAGAGAAACTGACATTTCTGACATTATTGAACGATTCAGTCGCGTTAAACCTAGACGTTTTCTTTTGTTATGTTTGAAATGAATTAAAATTAATTTGCCATTATTGTTTGTCTCAAAAGTTATTTCAGAATTGAATTCGCTAGTTCCGAAAATAAGTTATGAAAAAAAAACCGAATTAAAGAAATTTCCTGTTTAATAGAACACCCTATTTACCTATTCATTTATTTTATACAGTTACAAACAGTGCTTCCGAGAGGGGGTTGGAGTCGCCCTTTCGGCGGCACTGTATGTAACTGTATAAAATAGGGAAAATTTGAAAAATGAGGGGGCAATATTTTGTTCTTTATTACAATATTTATGATACATATGTAACAAATAATATAAAAAAGAAAAGATAACAAGTCAAGATATCGTTAAGAAATAAAGTATAAAAAATAAAAATAAAGAATGCGGATACTGAAAAAAGACAATAAAGTCTTGTCACAGAGAAACCGCTATTGAAGAAATTAGAACGTTTTTTTTTTTTTTTTTTTTTATGGTTTTTTCTTTTGTTGTGGTGTTTACGCCTTGCATCAATCAAATTACTGTGTCTTCCGAAGAGCTGACTCATGAGAATAATAATGTTCATAATTTTCTAAATCTCTTGCGAGCACTGAATTTAATTTGTTGATTAAAAATCACTGAATATTATTAATTGCTACATATTATTCAATATATATTACTGCATATAATCAATGTAATCACATTTCCAGACTGAATAAATTACATTTCCAGATCGTTCAAAAGGTTGTGCAAAAGAACCGAGATACGATGGTTCTGGGGGTGGTTAGCAGACAAAAAGTGTCCTATTTTTAAACTAATTTTAGTTTGCATGGGCGATATGGGGCTCATTTTAAAAATCGTGCGGGGGGGGGGGGGGATTTTGCTAAATGTGTTTAATACAAAGGTAGGTGGGGGAGGGAATTTTAGTCAGGATGTATAAAATGCGAGGAGGATATAATAAAAAAAAGCGGGAGGATTTACAATGAAAGTTTTATTATTTATCGGTTACCAATATATATTTTTTTTAATTTTAAGGCCAATTTTCACTGAATTTTTGTTTTGAGATATAGTTTTTTGTTTATAACAAGTGACTTGTTATAAACAAATAACACGGTTTTCAAAATGAGCCCCATATCGCCCATGCAACCTAAAATTAGTTTAAATCAGGACACTTTTTGTCTGCTAACCCCCCCCCCCCCCCAGTTTCGCCACTGAGAATAGTACTGACATTTACTTAAAACTAAAAACAGAGGTGTTCAATTTAATAAATTTTAGTTATAAAGAAGTATATTTAGAAATATATTTTTTTGTCTTTACTTTTATTATGATTTAATTGATTAAATAATAAAACAAAATTTAAGTTTTTAGCCTCCCCCCCCCTCCCCTTTTAATATAGATTTCACCTAAGAAGTAAATTACCAGTGTTTTTATTGGTTGATTTTAAAGTGAACGCGCGCTTTTTCCGGACCGTTAGGACTGTTTATAAAAATATGTCTTCGTAAAAGTTGTTGAGGCTTTTAACATTGTTTAAATATCCATTATATTTTTTTTAGATGCATTACTACTTTAATTAAAGTTTGGAATTACTTAACTAAATCATTTTTATTTATAATATCTTGATTATGTGTTGTTTGATCAAACAATAAACTATAAATGTAACTTAAAAGAGTGTTATAAAAGTAACAACACTGTAGTGTTATTACTTTTGTAGTCATAAATTTATTGTTTTGTTTTTCATAACATTTTCACTAACTATTCGCCTATTCCGTAAATTTCGTGGTTTTCCATAAACTGAAACTTTGAAGACCAGATAATTTAACAGATGTCGCAAATCGCGATGCGTTAATTCAACCCTTGTATATATATATATATATATATATATATATATATATATATATATATATATATATATATATATATATATATATATATATATATATATATATATATATATATATATATATATATATATATATATATATATATATATATATATATATATATATATATATATATATATATATATATATATATATATAATACTTTTGTATATATAATTTTGTATTATAATACAAAATTATTAACATACAATATTACAATAGAAGAGTTTCACAACTTAAAAACTAAAACATGTCAAATAAAGCTTACTTTTTGCGCTTAAAAAAGAATTCCTCAGTTTCGGTTTTTCATAATGGATGGTGTCCTTCAAGTTTAACTTCTTTAGAAGTAGATTTTTGCGAATTATGTTTATTTTGTGTTACTTTAGTTAAAGTTATTGGTAGTTTTTGAAATTTTATAAAATTGGGGGCAAAAATTGCATAAAAAGTCATCTTGCCCCGGTCACGTGACCAGATGACAAATTTATGAACTTTTTGTTTTAATATTTATTTCAAATTGTTATATTTGCAAACTGAAATTTTATGCAGGCTATGAATCATTTAAATAACATAAATATACTGAAAAAGTATTATTGCTTCATGACTGATAGTTTTGCAATAAATCAGGGCTTTCAAAACGTTCGCCATGTTGCCCCGCTTTCCCCTACATTTTATAAAATAAATATGCTGATATAGATAAGAGATTTTCAAAAATTTTAAAATAGGTTAGTATATTTTCAGTTGAAAGAATGAGTTTTTTAAGATTTTGTTTAAAAGAAACGAAATTACATTCTTGAGAAATATCTTTTGAAGTATTTAGAACTATACTATTCCATAAAAATGGTCCGCGAAATGTAATAAAAAATTTTCCAAAATTAGTTTGAGAAAATGGTTGTTGAATTAAGTTATCGTTCCTTAAAATATATTTATTTCTATCTTTTTGTAAATACAAGTTACGAAAAGAAACGGGTGATAGGTAGGTTTTGCATTTATACATAAAACAAAGAATAATTAAAACATTTTTTCTTTTATAAGTGCTACCCTAAGCAATGTTTGCATAATTAATATAGCAATGAATTAACGAATAATATAACTGAATTAAGGTATGCTTATCAAGAACGTTTCTTATTTTGTATAAAATGCCTATACTCATGGAAACTTTATTGCACAAGTTAGTAATATTGCTTTTCGGTGTAAGATTTTCATCGATATATACACATAAAAATCTTGTCACTAAAACTCTTTTAGTAATTATGTTATCGGTAAAAAGAAAAGGTAAGTTTCTAGGCAGTTGGTACTTTTTACCATAAGAATGAAAAAGAATCCATTTAGTTTTATCAATATTTAATAATAGTTTGTTTAATATGAACCATTCGGAAATTTTAACTAGTTCAATGTTCATGTTGTTATAAAGAGTAGAAATGTTATTATGAGAAAGAAAAAAGTTAGAATCATCAGCAAACATAATTGTCATTAGGTTTGAAGCTTTTGGTAGATCATTAATATATATTAGAAATAGGAGAGGTCCTAATATGGATCCTTGAGACACTCCACATGAAATACTTAAAAATTTAGATGATATGTTATCATCCGCATAAACAAATTGTTTTCGATTATTAAGGTAACTTTTTAACCATATTAATATTTCCAATTATTGCTTAAAAAAAAATCTTAAAGAGTATATCTTTTAAAACATCAAATGAATTTATAATAATGTTGCCATTAATACCATCAGGGCTAACTGCTTTGTTAGATTTTAACATTTTAGAGGCAATTTCAAACTCTTCAAAGATAATTCAAAAAAGTTCAAATAAGAGTTTAGAGGGAAACATAGATCACTCATTAAACTGTTAGCTATTGGAATTTTTTTTGCAGAATTTGGTCGTACAGATACAAAATATTTATTAAATTCTTCCGCAATTTGTCTTTTATCATATAAAAATTAAAAAAACCCTTTTCTAATCCAAGGCGATTTAATACTTTTAGCTTTGAGATTTTTGAGAACCTCAAAAGGATTTTAGCATCACATTCTTTTCCCATTTTGATCATACTAAATTTTGATTATAATTGCCACGGCCAACGACACCGGGGGACCAGGGGGCACGTGCCACCCACTTTTTTTTAATAATTTTTTTTTTTTTTTAATAAGAAAATTCTAGATATAGAAGACTTTTTTTAAGAATTGACGATTGTGCCCCCCTCCACTTCGAAACCCGTGTGTCGTTGGGTCCAAAAATATGGATGTTCATAACTTTAATTTGTTTTAATGTTGCCTCATCACTCACATAGGAAAAATTTCCTCCATTGGATTTTATCAGCTTTATTTCCTTCATCACTTTGTCCCTCGCATACGCTGATGAGCTATAAATTGTCTGACGAACTCTCGACGTTTTTGAGAGCTTCATCTTTGTTCAACCTTTGTGTAATTTTCAATCAGCTTTTTGCACCAATGGATTCGCAATTTGGTTGAAACTAAGTCCAATAAAAGTTTAACACAGTCTTTTTATTTAATATATTTTTACATCTTTTTATGAGACAAATCTCATTATCAACAGAATCATAAATCAGAAAACATTGCACTGCAATTACAACTTATAGACCAGTTGCAAATGTTTACATTTTTGCCGTAAACTAACGCATGCGCAGTAGTTGGTAGGCAAAAGAAAATCAACAAAACATTATTGAAACATAATGCCTGTATCTTGTTGTGGTTTTGGTTGCTCCAGTAGGAAGAAAAAAAAAGAGATTGTTTAAGTTTTTACCGAATTCCATTTGGAACAACAACAGAAAAAGAAAAAGAAAGAAGGAATTTTTGGATCAGAGCAATTAAACGAGATAAATTGTCTGAAAAACAAATATATAATGCTCGTATATGCAGTCTCCATTTTATATTAGGTATAGTATTATATACAATTGCTTTAAAAGATAATTCAATTATGCAATGGCTAAAAAAGTAAATATCTAATTATCTAATTATATGGCCTTCTAAATATCTAATTATATGGCCTTCGCAAACAGCAATACGACAGAATATGCCACCACAATTTCTGAATTTTAAGAAATGTGTTGTCATGATTGTACGGAGATTTTTATACAGCGCCCAAATAATTTAGAATCTCAAGCTATCACCTGGTCAAATTATAAAAGCACAAATACTATTAAGTACCTGATTGGTGTTAGCCCAGCTGGAGCAATAACATTTCTATCACATGGTTGGGGAGGAAGAATTTCTGGTAAAGAAATTACGATAAAATCAGGGTTTTTAGATTTTGTAGGATATGGAGACAGTATCCTAGTTGATAGAGGATTTCTTATTGAAGAGGAGTTAAAAGGTGCAACATTGCACAGGCATTAAAAGGTGCAACATTGCACAGGCCTTCATTTGCAAAAGGAAAAAAACAGTTAAGGAAGTTGAGGAATCTAGAAAATTGTCTCACTTATGGATACACATCGAACGTGTTATTTGGAAGATTAAAATATTTTCAAGTGTTATTCCTATAACACAAGTTGACTTATTAAATGATATTATGATATCTATTTGTGCAATAGTTAATTTAAACAAAAGTGTTGTTTCTTAACCAATTATCAAACATTTCTGAACAATTATAAACAATTTTCTATTTAAAATATAAAAATAGTATTTGAATACTTTTTTTCAACAAAATTATGTATTGAGGAAATTATATATTGACATACTATAATTTACAATATATTAAAAGATAAATCTTAAAGTTACATTGTCTTATCTGTATTTAGACAGGGAGGACAGTACCATTTTCTTTTAGGAATTTCTTTTATTCCAATACATACAAAATGAAACCATTCATACTTGCAATTAATATTGCAACATAGAACAATTTGACCAAATTGTGCTTTTTTACGAAAACAGTAGACTTTACTTGAATATACTGAATTTGGCAAACAACTCCTAGTCAATAATTCAGTAAAATCTTCAAAGTAAACACATTACTTAACTTAACAAGCATGTCTTCACAAAACGGTTCATTCTTTGACAAGTGATGAGAGTAAAATTCATTAGGGGATCATATAAATAAATCACAATAAGGTAAATCACATATTAACATTTGGCCTTGCATTTGATAGTAGTAAGGGTGTTCTATTTTAATTATACGATTAAAATTCAATGGAAATTTTTTATCATTCTTTGAATATTCAAAACCATTTTCATATTTGTAAAGGCATTTAATTTCCACAAGGCCTTTTCCATGACAATAACATTCTACAAATGCATTAGGACTTACACCGATTTCAGGAAATTTTTCATTGACATGCAATCCTGTCAAAGTTATTTTGAAATTTTTATGTTGTTCTGACATAATTTGAAAATATTTTTCTCTCGCTTTACCTTTATTTTAAGCTCCATACTTTGTAGCTATTGTTCCATCAAAAAATTTATACTGCAGGATTTTGTTAATAAAACTTTTATTATCATTTTTTAACAAGTGACATGCTTCATAAAAGTAAGAGGCAGTAATCCTACCACATTTATGCTCTTTCCAACACTGTGAAAAACGTTGAGCACAAGTTATTTCTGATAATCTGTCAAAAGATTTTTGAGTATAACATGTTTTGTAAAGTTTAAATTGCTGTTTGTCTTTATTTATTAAAGCTTCTTGTGAAAATTTTGTTAAATTTGGTTCAAATAGATATGTCAAAGGTTTTGAGATACATGTTTTATCAGTTTCTTCTACTGTATCAGTTTCACTAGAATACAAAAAATCAGTTTCATCAATACTTGTTAGAACAGCAGCATCAAGTTCTATTTCTTTCAGTTCATTAAACTTGTACTTTGAAATACTAGCATACTGTTTATAAGAATAACAATTTTCATCAACATTCTTGGATAATTGATTATGCAGGGGTAACTTTTTTTTTTTTTTGAGCAGCTAAAATTTATGCTTACTAATGCTGTGGGACTAACATGCTTTGAGATCAATTCCATTCACATTGTAAACTTGTACAAGCAGTTTTATTGATTTCAAGTCTTATACAGGCTTCAACTTTAAAAAGTAGAGCTGCCATATGACTGCAAGCTGATCCAAATCTAAAAAATAAGTTATTAAAAACTTAGGTTTTCAATATATTAAATATTTTTTCAAGTTATTCATTATAAATTATCTTAACTAATATAATTCTAATATAATATAATCATATTATAATCTTAAATAATCATAATAATTTTATGTTGTTAATCATAACAATTTTATGTTGTTAAAACAACTTAATTTAATTGTTAAAGTTAACATACCCATTTTATGTTACTAAAAAACTTAATTTTAATTGCTTATGTAAACATACCCAGCAACACAACTGCAGTTTCCATTTAAATAATATCCTTTGGATTTGTGAACATAAATCCAAACATCATACATTGCTGCTTTTTTCCCTTGTCTTTGACTTGGTAAGAACTAAAATAACAACATTAATATGGTTTAAAATTTATTGTAGTTATATATCTTAGTTATATTTTAGATTTCACTAAAATTGTTCATTTATATCAGCATAAAAAACATCTTGTACGTGTCCGCATATAAAATAGTTAAAAACCTCAATGGATTTATAGGTTTTCTTACTTTCTTTGCTATATAAACTTTGTGATTCTACTAAAAATGTGTACATATCACCATAACTGACTTCAGGAAACAAACTAACATTGTTTTTCCAAAATTTTTCTTCGATACCATAAGGGTCGGTAAGCAAAACATTATTTTCTAATGTCAATTTCTTCAAATAAAATTCTTTGTCAGGATTAGCAAGAGAATTGAAATAAGAAGACATTGTTTAGATGAAACTTTATTAAGTAGTCCGAATTAAAATTTTTGTTTATTTTATATTTTTGCCTACCAACTACCGCGCATGCGCTTAAATTGTAAACATATGCAACTCGTCCACCGTTTGAAAATTTTGAATTTTTTGGTTACGAAACATCCCGAAAAAATCCTCTTAGGGTATGAAACTACACATGTCAAGAATACTATATCAACTTACTTTGAAATCCAAAATTAAAATCCGAGAGAGATATTTTGATTTGAAAATATTCAATATTTTCACCAAATGGATAGAAGTTGGTTACAACCTGCCCTTAACAAAAGGGGTCATATCAGTCCTAATACAGCCTAACTAATTTAAAAAGTAAAATTAAGATAGAAAATATGCCATTTTTGACAATAATTCATATTCACAATTTTAAAATTTTATTTGAAAATATTTAGAAAACCATCTTTCAATTTTTTGATATAATCAAAATTTCTCACTTCAAAAATTTTTCTTTTGACAAATAAATACATTCTTTACACACACACAAACTGAGTTTCTCCGAATTGAAAATGAGGAGTCTTTTATTTTCTTTCTTTCCAACTAAACTTTTTTGCTGTTGTAATCAACTACACAACTGAGGAGTTGACTGGAATATTCCGGATGAGTAGAGTTTCGCTTGAATCTTTGCCAGTGGGTCTTGAAATTTGAATGAAGTTCTGTTGCTTGCTCACTGAATACACCTAGACCAACCTTGTGCTGATGAATGAATTGTTGAACGTGATGAAAAACAGCATGTGCCTTTGGTGTGACTGAGACTGGTAATTTCAAGTAGTTATCTTTGAAATCACAAATTTTTGCCTCATAATCTGGCAACAGAGTGTATCCAAAGCATGAAACCACAACCTGGTGAAATGAGCTCAATGCTTGGCATGCCTTTGTTGCATCTGGTGCTTTTTCAGCAATTGTCAATTGCATAAGCTCTTCAATTTTCCTCAGCACTTTCATGCAATCTTTTCCATTGAAGTGGCCACCATGAAATGGTTGCATCTGAATGTGGATTGAATCCAACCATTGTTTGGTCTTTGGAAAAACTTGAACCAAGTACTTGATGAGGTGGTTGACAACTCCCAGGAGCAAATGCAGTTCCATGGGTGGGATTGCCTCAAGGATCAATTCCCTGTCTGGAAAGGCAAACATTGGCAAATGAACCACATTTTCAAACTCTTTTGATCTTTTGGCATCACAACCAGACTTCACAAATTTTTTGTACAAGTCTCTGATGCCCCCGAATGTTCTAAGCTGACCACAGTTTTCCAAATGTGCTGAGTCTATGTTGCACCAACAGCAAGGATGCTTACTGCTGTGTGACCGGATTCCACAAACTATGTTTGCAAGCTTCATGTCACAAGAAATAACAAGTTTTTCTGAAATGGAGATTTCATTGATTTGGAGAAGATCCAGAATGTGCTTAACATTTGGGTAAGTCTCTGGTGTGTTCTCTGAAATGGCAACAATCAGTTGTTTTTGAACACTTGTGTTTTTGAAGTTGTCTTTGGTGATCAATTTTGATTTCTTCTGAACAGGACTGTGAGGTTCTCCTTCATGCTCACTGATAAGACTCAAACTTGCCTTAAAGAATGATCCTCCACCATCAATGCCAAGCTTTAAGACGTTTGAGTTTTGCAAGCCTCTGGATGAAACAATATTTTCTTTGAGGGTTTCCAAATTTGTGCAGTGAACAATATGGCGTGTTTCATTTGATTCTGGTAACTGTGAAGTGGTTACTGTAAAGAAACTTTTGAGGGTAGTTCCAGCTGCAGCAAATTTTTGTTGAAAATTGGCCTCAACTATGCGAACAGGACTTATTTGATTTAAAGCTGACCCAAGCTTTCTCATTCCATTGTTAGAAAGTCCAATGTTTTGCTGAATATTAATCATATTTTGTGTTGTCAATGGCTCTGAGGAGAGACCCTGAGTTGCATTTGATCCTGTGAATAAAGAAACAAATAAGAAAAAAACCAATATTAAAAAGCAAACCCAGCAACAATACTTTAACATACCTGGTCTGATTTCAAGAGGCTTTCCATGAAACCGGCTAATCAGAATAGTTCCATCGGAAGATACCTCTTTGGAAGAAACGATGAATGATGCAATTTGCTCTGCCCCTAACGGATCTGCCAATGCCAGAGCTTTCAAGTTTTCACGACGTGTTGCTTCTTTGCAGTTATGAGGCAGTCCTCGAGCAATGACAGATAGGCATTTTGTGCATCGTTTTTCAAAAGATTTTTCTTCTTTTTGCACTTCTTGCTGAGATGGTTTTTCAAAGGGGTGCTTTCCTTTCCCTTTGGTTTTTGAAATTTGACAAATGATGCAATCACATTTAGTTGTCTGGCGAGTTGATGGTTTGATCAATATGGATTCGAAGTCATAAAGTTGAGGTATACTCACTTCTTCATCTCCAGAAGCTAACTTTCTAAGCAGGAACCTACAGGTGACACAGATCCCTCGTGGAACCCTCTCATCATCAAAGTTGATGTTGCCAGAAATCAATCTTTTGATTTCACTGATGAAATATTCTGAAATTTCTCTGTCACTTTTTTTCATACAAAGTGTGCAAACGACCTGCCGACATTGATTATGATCCTTTGAAAAAGTAGGCATTTCAAAATCTGAGATGAACTTGTGATCTGTTTGAAGATATCATTTAAACTAATTCATAAAGTACAAAGAGGTCATAAAACGTATGAAAATGTACTAAAAGTACAAAAAGTCCGTAAAATTGGAAATGTCCGAAGAGTACAAATTTTAGGAAAGTACAAATTTACGGCAATTCACGTATCAAATTTTTCATCGTAATTCGCGATTCAAAAATTAATCGATTCAAAACTTGAAATGGAAATATCTCCCCTTATAGCTCATTTCTCAAAAAAATTTATTAAATACGAAATCTTTACAAATTAATTGTCTAAAAAAGTTATTTTATTAAAAAAATCACTACGACCCACCCCAATACCGCTATTTTCAAAAACAAAAACTGCTAATGTTTTTATATTATTTCAAAAATTTATATCAAAATGTCTCTCTCGGATTTTAATTTTGGATTTCAAAGTAAGTTGATATAGTATTCTTGACATGTGTAGTTTCATACCCTAAGAGGATTTTTTCGGGATGTTTCGTAACCAAAAAAGTCAAAATTTTCAAACGGTGCGTCTACACGATTTTTTAAAACATTAAAACTGAAATTACTGAAAAGTATTAAAAATCTTCAAAATTAGCGCTTTTTATTTTTCACCTGCTACCTTCGGAGAAATACGTTCCTCGTGAGAAAATTTATGCCAAGGACTCTTGCTTATTTATACTATTTCGCCTCCGACAATAAATAAAATTTTCATATATATACAACAAAATAAATAATGGTTGGAGCAAGAAGAAGACATAATTCTGTCTTATCACCGAGCACCATTTTTATAAAATCGTGATATATAAATATTAAATTATATTGGCGTAATTGCTAAAATGCTTACATTATCTGCAGTTGCAAAAAGAAAAAGAATGCAGCTGCAGTTGCAAAATGCAGTTGCAAATGCAGTTGCAAATGCAGTTGCAAAATGCAGTTGCAAATGCAGTTGCAAATGCAGTTGCAAATGCAGTTGCAAATGTAGTTGCAAATACAGTTGCAGTTGCAAAATGCAGTTGCAGTTTTTTTTGCAATAGTATATAATTTATATACTTGTAATAAAATAAAAAAAGACAATAAAAAAAAAAGAAAAAAGATATATACATATACTTATATTAAGAGATTAATATCATTAATAAACTTTGTTATTGTGGGTTGTGATAATAACATTCTTTTAAAATAATTTTTTTTCTAAATTTATCTTGATTTTTTATTAAAGCTTTACTTTATTTAAAAAAAAACATTTAAAAGCTAGCATAGTGAGATCCATAAATAACATCAACCGATAAGATTCTTTTTTAAATCGATCAAGAGTGGTTTTCTTTTTATTTGTAATATCTGAAAATAAATTCCAAAAATACGGCCCACGATACTTAATTGAGTATGAACTCAATTTTAGACTATATCTTGGGAAAGCAAAGTTGTTTACTGAGATGTCCGAGACGAGCGAGATCTAAAAGTATCGATATGGGTTAAAAAATAGAATTTTTTTCAGAAACGTAAGGCATTTTGGGATTGATATTCGGACAAATATTGTAAAGAAACAAAAGAATTTCTTCAAAACGCTGGTCATTGTGGGATTGATATTCGGACAAACAAACATTTTGACGTCACCATAACGGTCGCTATTAAAATTTACGTTCCCGACGGGCATTTGTTTTTAAAAGTTACGATCTAAATGTCTTTTAAATGTCTTTTAAACGTCTTTTAAACATTAATGTTTAAAAGACGTTTAAAAGACAATTAAAACACATTTAGAACGTAACTTTTAAAAACAAATGCCCGTCGGGTTGTGTCTAGCGCAACGGTACCGTTGCTTTAATTTTTTATCTTATAGTCATGGTAGTATAATTTGATTGGTTTATTTAAAGTCACGGCTGTAAATATGGTTGGTTAATTTTGAAAGTTTTGTTTGTACAAATTTTAAAAGAATTCCATGTATAATGTATGCGTTTAGCAATGTGGTATCTTAATTCTTTAATACTCACGGAGATTGGGGATCGAATCTTACTCTCTGAATAATACTTTAAAATGTTTTTTAACAATATTTTTATTGAAAGTTATTATTGTTGTATAATGAAAGTTACTTTTATGTATATCATTTACAAAAATCGACTGATATAGAGATAGGCGGAGTGAGTGTACATATATCGACTGATTTAGGGATAGGCGCAGTGAGTGAACATGCATCGATTGAATTAGGGATAGGAGCATTGAGTGACATACATCGACTAATTTAGGGATAAGCGCAGTAAGTGTACATACATCAATTGAGGGTTTTGGTTTGAGCATGCATTCTTTAAATAAAAGAAAAAAAAAATCAACAAATCAGAAACCACTACCGTGGCTTTAAAAAAAAAATTAAAGCGACGGTACGGTTGCGCGAGCAACAGCGTAAAATTTAGTTACGCATCTACTCTTATAAATATGACCGTAAGGACTTCTTGGGGCACTGAAAAAAAATTAAAAAAAACTTTATCGTTCAGGATAAAGAACACTCTGCACACTCTATTGGTTCTGGCACAGTCACCATTTTAAGTAATTTTAATGAGTTAATATGTTGAAATGCTTATTAAACTTGCTGATTGGGGTTTCAGTGGAACGCACAAAAAAGTACTTGACCTTATTGCTAGTTATTTACAACATACAAAACGATAAACCAGGCAACGCTTTGTACTATGTTTTCATCAAATGTTGGAAACAAAAGTTAAGCGAGAGAACTGCAAGTAAAATTGAAGCACAAAGAGCAGCTTTTTTTACTGAAAATGATATACACAAACATTTCAACACATGCATGACTTAATTTTAAGAAGCAAGCATCAATGAATACTCTGTGAGTAATGTCTGAAATTTGATAAAATCGCCTTTAATGGTGACGCGGTAATAAAACAACTCTCTGCAAACGTTGTTTCAAGCGTCTTCTGGTAGTAGCTGGAATTAATAAAAAAAATAAACTACACTCTACCTAAAAAGACGTCTTTTGAATGTTTAAAATACGTCCAAAACGTTTAAAGGGCATTTAAAATCATTTTTAAACGCCCTTTAATAATTTTCACGTGCTATACCTACTGGATAGGCACTGCGTAAATACTGCGGGAGTTGCACTACAATCATTTATAATTTATAAAACCAAACCCTTGCAGTAATTGGGTTTACAAAAGTTTCGTAAATTACAGAATATGCAAGTTCACCTTCAGATTGAATCGAAGACAAATAATTAATTTAATGGTTAACTTAAATATTTATTCCAATTTCCAAAACAATTCCACAAGTACAAAATACCAGATTACTCTACTTTGTATTAAAAACTACGTCAAGCTCATATGTCTACCGGCTAATTTGTTGTGCGTTCTTCATCCTTTAGATGTTGGTTGTATTACCGTGTTAAAAAAGTTTCTTGACAAATTTTAAACTAATATTACACCAACTCTCAATGCTACATACCCTCTCCAGCAATTTATCTAAAAATACTTATGTTCAGGTTTAATCAAAACTCTTTAATTTAGGTAAATGTTTCACGCATTTTCAAATTACTAACATAAACAAAGTATACAAACCTAAATTCCAACTTGCAGAAGTATTTCAACAACCAAAGTCTGCTAAATTGTTCTCACTTTTGTTCTATATTTTAAAAAGTTTTCACTAGCTCTAAATCAACAACGCCAATCTACCGAATCAACCAAAATATTTTATCCGCACACACCAGTCTCATCCAATCATTCTTAATCAGTAACTGTGATATATCAAAAAGCGAACGTTGATCTAATTCAAACTGCTATTCAAGAAAACAATTGCTTTAGAAAGTGCATTAAATGAACAATTACATTGTTGGCAGTTGGCAGACCTGAGGGAGGTAACATACTCAAACAGGCTGAACACCAGAAGAATCAGAGAATTAAAAAAAAAAAGAAAACAGATTTTAATGATACGTAAAATAATCAGTCAATGGAGTGTCAATCCACGCAACAAAGATTGGGAAAAAAAAAAAGAAAAAAAAAAGAAGTGTCCAAAACGTCGGAAAGAAAATGCAATAAATGAAAATAACCAAAGGTCTACATGTGAAAATTTAAAAACCATTTAATTAGAAACAAGCTATGATGGTACTTTACTTTACCCAATTTTCAAATATTCTATTTAAATGCTATTTAATTTTAAAACACTTAAATCGTTTTCAATCTTTTTAAACAACTCTAGATCAGCTAATTTGTGTATTGTTTTAAAGATATGGTTTGTTTCTTCAAAAAAATATAGTTTGTTGTCCCATCAAATGACGTTCTAAAGAAGAAGACGGTCAACTACTAGGTCATCACTTCCAATTAAAAGAACTTCGTCGATATGTTGCAGCTTAACATGCAGTTAAAATATTCTTTCGCTTTATATTTTTTTGATCCACTCATTTTACGCATTTTACAGCTTAATTTTAGTTACTCAAGTGTTCGCAGTTCAATGCAATCATTGAAAACCTCTGTTATGTTTCATGTAAAAATATAAGAATGAATTGCCATGAAACTTGAAGATATACCACACACGACTTGACAGAGTTTAATACTTTGTCCACCAGGTAAAGCTTATATTATGCAAACAGGGCTTGTTAACCAGCATTTCAACATTATGTCTGTGTTGCATCTGTACATATATATAGAATTATTACAATTAATGATGTATACCACATGATCCTTGTAATCCTTCTTTAAAATTTAATGACTTAATATTTTCATATTTTCTCTTTTGTTTTTAACTGTCTTACCGGAATTTAAAGCAAAATTTAGAAAAATCTAAATAATTTTTAAAAAAATCATATTCGTTAAATTTTTATTTAGAAACAAAAAATATAAATGCTGTCTATTATTGGGTTCTTAAACAAATACCATTTAACATTACTTACTAGCACTGTTAATTATACTATATATATATATATATATATATATATATATATATATATATATATATATATATATATATATATATATATATATATATATATATATATATATATATATATATATATATTATATATTATATATATAATATATATATAATATATATATATATATGTGTGTGTGTGTGTGTGTGTGTGTGTGTGTGTGTGTGTGTGTGTGTGTGTGTGTGTGTTTAAGGATTATAACGGGTTACATTTTATAACAAATTAAGGTTAAAAGTTTTAACAAATATCAAAAATAACTTCTGAAAAAAAATAGTTATTGAGTTTCAAAAAAACTAAAAAACTTTGTTGAAAGTTATTTACAAACATCAAGCTAAAAGATTTAAGCAGTGCGTGAGTGTAATAGGGGAGAGTCGGGTAGCCCCGGACACTTAAGGAAAATATAGATTGTGCACATGTGCTAACAAAAAAAAAAGTGCCAGAAGACTTTTTAAAAGTTCAAACATTCATCTATCGAATTAGAAACAAAAAAATAATTATTGGGTACCTTATATACAAAACATAAATATACAAAACATAAAAGAAAAAATGTTAGAAAAAAGGCATGTTTCAAAATTGGAGGGTAGCCCCGGACACATAGTTTAACCACGATTTTTTCTCTTTTTTATCAGTGGGACACAAATATAATATATAATAATTTAGCATTGGAGTGTTCTCGACACATTTTTATTAAAATTACCTTTAAAAATCGCCTCTGATATATAAAGAATGAGAATGTTAATGTCATCATTTAAAAATATAAACATAAGCTTTTTTTTTGATGAAAATAAAGTTTATTTATTAAACACTTTTTTCAAATCTAATGTTTTTTTATTGGAATTAAATATATTACTGTTATAGGTTTGTGTATTATATTAAATGTATTAATATTTATATAAAAAAGTTGTTTATTATTAATATGTAAACGAGTTAAGTTGTCCAGAGTTGTCCACCCTCCAAACATGTGTCCGATACCACCCGATCATACCTCAATCACAAATATTAGTTTTAAAACCAGTAAACTAAGCTTTTTGACGAATTTTTTCGAGAACAAAAAATATATTAGAATCATAACTTTATATATATAACTTCTCAATTTAAAGTCTTTTCAAAAAACCAAAAACAAATTACTTTATTTCCAGTTCCAATATTATTTTACTAAGCAGGACTAGGCATGCGCAATGCTAAAGATTTTTAAAACATTTTAAAGTGCACGATTTAATTAGGCGCTACTATGACATTTAACTCACTAATTTTTTTGCAACTGTGAATTAAATATATATACGATGAGACTGGCTCATATCCTAATCGTACATTTGTAAGAAGAATTTGTAAGATGAAAATATATTATTTTTTTAATAAAAAAAAAATTAACCAAACATCTTTAGGTGTGATGCAAGAGTGTGATACGCGTGTACAATTTACATTTCAAATATTTTGTTCACTATCGTTTACAGGTGGAACAGCACCTCGCTAGGTCTGTTCTCTAGAAACACAAGATCAAACATATATTTTTCTAAAAATGTTTTTTTTTTTCTCTAAATTTTTACTCTATCCATCAACTCATTGAAGAGATTACCAAAAATGACAGTACTTCCAGCACTTCATGGATAATTTTACTTAAACATGTTCTAAAACACCAATTACAATAAATCAGAATCACATAAACCATTTAAAACAGCAATAAAATACACTATTTTATTGCGGTTACTAATTAAATTTAAGATATATATATATATATTCCGTTGAACAACATATTTAGATGTTACATATAGCTACATACTTTTTTAAGTCAAGTATAAAACCTTACGTCAGGTATTAAATTATGTGATATACCAAGTATAAAATTAATCTACAAGTAACGAGAAATCGTTTATAAAACAAGTATTATTTACTATTTGTATAAAATATTCAAATTACATAAAATTTAAAGAACTATTTATCACTATTTATGAGAATGTCGCGATTATGTGAAAGTTTATGATTATCTAAACATTTTTGAGTAGCAAACACTTTGTTACACTGGTCGCATTCCAGCAATTCATTTCCTTTTCCGTGAAACTGACCAGAATGTCGACGAAGATCACCTTAATTAGAAAGAATGTAGTATCCTAATACACAACGCAAAATAAATGTTAAAACGCACCGCAAAAAAATATATAAACAATATCTCTTAATTATGTATATTAGATTGTCTATTTACCTGAACGGTTAAACGTTTTTGAACATAGATCACACGGATAAGGTCTCTTATTTGAGTGAGTAACAACATGACGACTAAGCTTCGATGAAGTAGCAAAAGTTTTGGGACAATGTAAACAACGATGAGGGCGCTCTCCTGTATGAATATAACTGTGAGTCTTTAACGAAATGGTTGTTGAAAAAGTCTTGTTGCATTGGTTACATTCATATGGTCGCTCACCTAATATCAAAGGCGTTACTAAACTGCTGAATACTTTTTCTTTTAACATCAAAGATTACAAAAATCATTTTCATACAAATTTATTTTTTACCTGAATGAGTTCTTACATGTCTCCGTAAATCGTTCGCACTGTAAAATGCTTTTGCACATTGTGGACATTTGTGAGGTCGTTCACCAGTATGAGTATATAAATGCTGTTGTAACCCAAAAGGATGCCTGAAAGCTTTGTCACATCTGTCACACTTCCATTTTCTTTGACTCATGTCTGGACACACTCTCTTAATATGTCGAGACAAGTAAAGAATAGTTGTAAACATTCTTCCACATTTTCCACAGCTAAATTTGTCTTTAAAAAAATTACTGATAAGTTATTATGAATAAGTGAAATAAACATATTATCATTTATGAAAAAAGAATTTTTATTTACCTTACAACTAAAGTAATAAAATGGAATACCTCTTTTTATACCATGCTTTTTAGGATCAATTTCAACATCATCAATCTTTATAGTCCCGCTTTCAGAAAATGATACATCGATATGAAGATTTTGCTTTTTAATACTATTTTCAACTATATTTTGAACAGTATCCTCGTTTTCTGCTGACGACTCTGTTCCCATACTTAAAAGAGCTGATGCAACCTCAAGCGGAAGACTTCCCCCTGTATTTTCAGCTTCTAAAGAATGCCTTTTGAATACATTTGGCAATACAAGTAAATCAGAACTATGTGATGCATTTTCTTTTTTTTCATTATCTTCCTTAATTTTGGGTTTTTTTGTTTTATGCTTTCCAAACATCAAAGCGTCCATCGATGAAAGATTTGTTGGGAAAAAAAAGTTTTGGTTGCGATTAACAGATTTTGAAGTAGATGTTGATGGTTGAACACTATTTGACCCTACTTTAACTGGAAATATATGATTTGGAGGTACACTGTAGCGAAACATCTTTTTCTCATCAAGTTTAATTAAAGGAGATAATTGTGATAAAGAGGACGGAGGAACTATTGAAGTGCTTATAGGCATAACAAGAGTTGAAGTAACTTCTGGTTTTGGAAGAATATTTCGAAGAGGATTTTGAAATCGAATACTCATTAGCATCGGATCATTATTTACAAATACTTGTGATTGATCTATATATGAATGTTGCTCAATCGATGAACTGTTTACCAATGAAGAAAACAATTGAGACATAGTCGACGAATGCATTATTGTACTATGTGGAAAGTTCTGACAAACTGTACTTACTGGCTCTTGTTGTGAGTTACAAGTTAAAGGGGAAGTAGGAAATTGTTGCTGAAAGGGTGATGGTAACCCGCACTGTAAATCTACACCAGATGTACTCAAAAGAAGATTAAAATTTGGTAGAACATCATAATGACTAAAATTATTTTGAGAAGAATTAGTTTGTTCAAGATCTTTAGCATCAGAAAATGATTTATTTTGAAGCATGTCAGTGAATGATATTGGATTATTGGATGAATTAACTATAGTGGACATCTTTGTTTGATGAGATGCTTCATTTGTTGATGTTGTAACAAAAATAAAGGGGTCACTTTTTGAAGATACTAACACTTCCGAAATTTCATCTTTATTGTCATTTGTGACCACAAAATTTTTCTCTCTTTTATCAACAAGAGGTTTTAGAACTTGCACACTTTCAGAACCTAATGTTTCTGGTTTTGATAAAGGCTTAAAAACTCTTTGTTGTTCAATAAATAATCCATTATCTTGAGGATTTGTATTGTAACTAGTTGTTTTTGTATTAATAGCATCTGTAACTGGTGCACTAATACTGATTAAAGCATGAACAGCTGCAGATACTGGACTACATGAGTTGCTACTTGCTGACAGCATACGTGTAGGACGAGATGCATCAGGTCTTTTTATATTTTTATTTAGCTTATTATTACCAGAAAAAGTTTTTTGAATAGTTATTTGACTTACCTCTTGATCAAGTGCTCCATCACAATATTCTGTTTTATCAGGTGGTTTCTTTATAGTTTCAGAGCCTAATCTCTGTTTCATTATTAAAGGAGCTACCTGCTTGATAATATCAGGAGAAAATTGTTTCAAAAAAATTGCAGCCTCAGAAATAGTAAAAATGTATCCTGAAACGCTATGATTTAGTGATTTATGAAAGTTATCAAAAGCATCAAGTTTAACATCTGCTCCTGAGTACACTGACTTTGTAGCAATATTTTCGTCATCATCAAGAGATGGAATATCAGACAAACGAATATCCTTTAGTACATCATAATGATCATTCATTTTACATTTAAAAACTTCAAAAATTAATCTAACTTTAAATAAACAAGCAAGTAAACTTAAAGCAATTCGTATTATTCTATTATAATCATATATTATAGTTTTTATTATTCTATTATATATATATATATATAGTAATATATATATATATATATATATATATATATATATATATATATATATATATATATATATATATATATATATATATATATATATATATATATATATATATATATATATATATATATATATATATATATATATATATATAGTAATATATATATATATATTATATATATATATATATATATATATATATATATATATATATATATATATACATATATATATTTATATATATATATATATACATATATATATATATATATATATATATATATATATATATATATATATATATATATATATATATATATATATATATATATATATATATATATATATATATATACATATATATATATATAGTAAAGTCGTTAAATATACAGTTTGCGGTAAAAAATCACTTGTAGCTTGTCTATGGTTTTTAAACTGACAAAATTAAGGTTACATTATAACAAAACACATTGATTTAATTGAGGAAAATAACTAAATTTAATGTTTTAAAAAAACTACAAAAACACCTAGAATGTTTTTATTTTTATTTTTTTACTGTAAAATATGTGCAATGTTGCTACATCGACTATCTTATAGCCTGACTCACAACGGAGTGCCGCTACATCGACTGAGGATTTGATTTGGGCAGGCAGTCAGCTTAAAAACCATAGGCAAGCTACAAGTTATTTTTTACAACAAACTGTATATTTAAAGCCTTTACTATATATATATATATATATATATATATATATATATATATATATATATATATATATATATATATATATATATATATATATATATATATATATATATATATATATATATATATATATATATATATATATTATGATGTAAAAATATTATCAAAAATGGTATTAAAGATGTTACACACAACCAAAGTCCTGGGCTCTAGTCATTTTTCAGTGTCTAGTCATTTTTCAGCATCAATATATGTGAAAATAATATAAATTGACGAGCAGTTTAGAAAAATGACTAAAATCCAGTTTTTCAGAAATGCATATAAAAGTTCCATTGCAAATACATATAATACAGTTATGTATAATCTATTCTGAGAGATTTGTCAAAAAAAAACTGCCTCAATTCTGTTATTTTGCTCTGAAATTTTGCAAAAATTTTTTTGCAAAAATTAAAAAAACAAACAAAACAACCAGAGTTCTGGGCTCTAGTTGTTTTTCAGTGTCAAAGAAAACAATACAATTTTATTTTACTCATAATTAGCTTGTCTACTTCCACCAGCATAATCAAAATTTCAATTTTTATATTTTACTGTTTCTTTGCATGCTAATGTTAGACTGTGTGTTTAACTGTTGGATCATTAAATTTCACAATACATTTACACAGATTTTGGTATATATTTTATGCTGATTTTTTAGTATTAAATAATTATGTTTTTATAACCTTTTTCAAATTAGGTTTTGTTTTTAAGTTGTTAAAGCTTTGTTGCATAGATGTTGCCCATAACTTTAAATCTGTACTAACTCAACTGCACACAAGTAGTACTTTGTCAAAATTACAAGAAAATTGGAAAATATATACTAGCTTTGCACCTGAATTTAGTTACATAATTTTTTAGTAAATGATAGTATTCTTATTTTAATATACAGTAGTTTAGCATTTTTTTTATAATAGATAATCTAATCTCATTTGATAATGAACATCCTCAGCAACCTGCCAAATAAGAGAAGAAGTAGAAGTTTGAAGGTAAGTGTGAGAAAAATAAGAAGACTCAGTAGTCATATTTTTCTTAATAATTGCAAAAGTAAAAGAAACCGCATGAGGAAGTTATCAGAAAACCAACTTTTAGATCAGCTAACACACTTTAAGTTATATGTTTAAAAGATGAACAAGATTCATACCTGGCATGACAGATTTGTGTAAAATTCTGTAGTTAGGCACCAAGTTGATGAAAAGCACTTTGTTTGCTACAATGATTTATGCTTGTCGATTTATGAGATCACAGTTGAGCCAGAAAAAAAATATCAAGTGTAGTTTGGCGCAAAAGAATGTACCTCTAAAAGTGACAAGCATGATAATCAACCACACAACCACAAAAAGTGACAGTATTTTTCAACAAACATCTTTTCACGTGCACAAATCGCGCTACAACAGCAAGCAAGCAGCAAGTCTAATTGAGGACCTCTAAAAAATATCTAAAAAATATATAGACTATATAAAGATGCACATTCTACTAAAAAAGTGTTGCTCAGCAACTAATGAAAGTTTTTTACAACAATTTTAAGACATCATTTGTTTATCTGCTGTGTGATCTGCATATTGCATATTGTTAAATGTAAAATTCAAGAATTGTCAGCTAGTGAAAATAATGAGACAAAAAGAGAGCCTTTGAAGAAGCAGAAAAAACTAGAAAAAAAAATTTATTCAGGAAAACCAATAAATTCTATGAAAAAAAAAACCCAGCAAAAAATGATTAATATTATTAAGCAATAGCCATGGATTTATGCAAGAATCTTTTTGATCGAATCTCAAGCAATGATTTGTACTAAAAAGACAGCTTTCATTTTAAGCCATTAATATTCATGTCTTGTCTACACCAGCCATTTGTTTTTACACAAACCATGAAATGATTGGATAGAAAAATGGATGATGTGTGCTTATTTCTTATAAACTTCCTGGACTACAAAGTCCTAGAAACTGTGAAAGAGCTAAATATCTTTTGTGATGTGCTTTGCAGACCAAAATAAAAGTTATACTGTTATTTATTTTCTGCTTAATTGGTAGATGATTTCAGAAGATTCATATGACTTTTTTGGTGAAAGGATATTCTTAAATTAAGTTAACTTTAGTTAACTTAATTTAAAAAAAAGATAAGAGTCTGATCAACACCAAGGACACAGTCAAGACAATTGGCGTAATCAAATCTGTAACTCAAGACTCTTCCCCCCACCATTTGTTGTGAAGAACTATGATCAATCTATGTTTAAATGGCACAATAAATATTTGCAACACGATTATAAGAACATGTGTCTGTTTCCATAAAGAATTTCTTGTAACAGAGAACCATTTAAGTGAGATAATTTATTTCAAAAAATGGCATTGGCAATAGCAGCAAGAAATATAATGACATACAGAGATCTAGTTGGTTTATGCAACTGTCGCACCACTAACATTCACTTTACATAAATTCTTACTGGCAAACTTTTCTTCAGCTACCAGTGAACTTTGTGCCAAATTTTTTTTTTTTTAAACTGTAACATTTTAACTCATTTTTCCTAATTCTGAAGACTCCCTTATAAAGTATTAGTGCGTAATCAAATCTGTATATATATATATATATATATATATATATATATATATATATATATATATATATATATATATATATATACAGGGGTTAATGTATAATAGTAAATCAAGTGGAGTGGTGTTAAAAAGTTCAAACTGTTTGTTCAAAGGGATGCGGTAAAACTACTTAATATTAGACATAAATTTTAGCAAAAATTAAAGTCGCTCTTTAACTCCAATAAAAATCAGCGCGCAAAGTGAAAATGATCTACTACTTTAAAGAGATAAATTAAGCGATAAATTATGCCAAATCATATACATATAATATATTATATATAAATATATATATATTATATATATATGTAATATATATATACATATTATATATTTTATACATACATACATATATATATATATATATATATATATATATATATATATATATATATATATATATATATATATATATATATAATGTAATATATATATATATATATATTAAATATATATATATATATATATATATATATATATATATATATATATATATATATATATATATATATATGTATGTGATATATATGCCAAATCATATACATATAATATATTATATAAAATATATATATATATATATTTTATATATATATATATATGTAATATATATACATATTATATATATTATATATGTATACATATATATAATATATATATATATATTATATATATAATATATATATTATATATATAATATAAATATTATATATATATATATATATATATATATATATATATAATATAAATATTATATATATATATATATATATATATATATATATAATATATATATATATATATATATATATATATATATATATACTATATATATATATATATATATATATATATATATATATATATATATATATATATATATATATATATATATATATATATACTATATATATATATATATATATATATATATATATATATATATATATATATATATATATATATATATATATATATATATATATATATATATATATATATATATATATATATATATATATATATATATATATATATATATATATATATATATATATATATATATATATATAGAACTATAGGATTTGAAATACAAAAACAATTTTCAATATGTAAAATATTCAAATTCCAATAACAAAAAATGAAATCTATTTTAAAAGTGAAAGTCTCAGGAAGCCCTCATGTTTTGTTGTTTTGATTGCAGTGAAAAACCCGTTTTTAATACGCATGCGTTGGTAGAAACAAGTTGCATTGTGGGAGTTCGCGGTACGTTGTCACGGTGGAAAGTTAGCGAGTCTTCTACTCTACCTGCTTCCAAAAAAAGTTAGTTCACTTTTAGTGAAGTTTTTGTGAAAATGTTCACAAAATAAGGTAGTCTATCATATACTCACGTTTAAAATTAAAATAAGAGATAAAAAAACATTGAAATTAAAAAGTACACGACAATTATTTTTCTGAGCGGTTTACACTATTTTATCGTACGTTTCAATTTTTCGAAAAGTTGATACTAACTTTCTCCGTAATGACTTTAAAATTATGTTTTTAGAGTTTTCAAAGTATTGATGTATTTATATATTAAAAAAAGATAAAAATCTCAAAAATGTTTAAAAATAATACTTAA